AAACAGAAAATCGGCATCGTTTGATAATCGAAAGTAAAGGGATTGTGAGCCATTTCTATCGATGCCCGGCATGTGCTTGCCGCATCAAAATTCACGTGTAACCTAATTAGATGTGATGTGAACAATGTAATTATTTTGTCAAACTGGATTTATTTGTGAGTGGTGTTTTGGTGGCGCACATTGCAGTGATATTGACATTGCTATTTAAACAACCTGAGAAACACAAATTTGATATGGAGACTATACGAAGTGCAAAGACTCCAAGGGCCCCGCGAAGTTCAGTGCGAAGAAATTTGCTAACGGAATTTGACGAAGCGGATACTCCAATTTGTCGTACACCCGACTTTAATTAACGTACTCCAGAAACGGAAGTGCAATTGACACCCGAAGTCGAACGTCCTAAGGGATGGGGAACTTGTTAAATATTCTGGATGTATGTGAGCTTGCTGTGTGTTTCAGTGATAGCTGTAACTTATAATTTTTTCCCTGGCGAATTTTTGTGTTGGATTACTCGTGAATTCATATTCATAACAGGATCCATAGTGGTTTGTGCTGTGATAAGAAGTGTAATTTGGAAAATATGGGCCAACCGAGAACGCCACAGAGAGGAATCAGGACAGCCTTCATCTAGTACTGTGCGAGGAAGTCGAACTCGACAGAGAGCGACCAGAGAAAACACTGGTTTTTCACATGCCGCACCAGCAGTCTCTAGTCAATCACCTGATATCAATATTCCTGTGAAACGAGTATTTAAAGGAGATGGATCTACTATTTGGAGTGAATTCAATCGATATTATTTTTATACTTTGAAAATGTGGCAAGTTTGAATCAGAGGTCAGAGCAGCGCATGAGACGCATTCTTCTGACAACTTTAAGGGATCAATCTGAAGCGTTTGCCTATGGACTTCCGGAAAATACTTTGGGACAGTACAAGTCATTGAAAGAGGCACTTAATCAGAGATTTTGGCATACAGCGCTTAAGGAGAGTTATATAGCCGAAGCTAAGCTGCGCAGGAAACAGGACAAAGAAACATTCCGGGATTTCGGACAGACCATTCAGGACTTGTGTCGTCGTGCTTACCCTGAGAACAGAGAGTATGTAATGGAAAGCCCAATAAAGACATTCCTGGATAACTGTAGCGATAATGGTGACTTTCGCCTTGCAGTTAAGCGAACACGCCCAAGAACCTTAGAGGAAGCTGTTACAGCTGCTATGCAAGAAGAATGTATACGCTTTACAGAAAATAAAAAGCCCCAAGTGAAGAAAGAATACCAACCACAGGTGTACACAGTAACTGACAAACGGTACGTTGGTAACAGAACATCAACTAAAAATGTCGATCATACGGTGAAAAGATGTTTTTAGATGATGTTCTGGTACTCTAAGATATCAATTTATGCAATATTTCTTTGTAACACTTTACAATTATTCACTGTTTATTTATCAAAACATCCATTATTGTTGCTAGGCAACGGGCACTTATTTACAAAAAACCTACGTGTTTGAATTCGGATTTCAACAGGGAAATTCCTCTACTTTTACATGAAATCCATGCAAAAGCTGATATATTTAGATGAAATTTTAATTTGACCTTGAATATTGCCAAAATCAAGAAAAATGCTGAATCAGCAAAAAATGCAAAAACATGTATATCTTCCAATGTCCATCACAAAACTTCATATGTATCTTTAAATCTGATATCTATGTGTTGGGTTGTTAAAACACTTAAAATGTGTATCTTCATTATACCAGTAAAGAGGAATAATTTAATTCATATTTACGTTTCATTTTAAGTCTTAAAAGATAAGTGATTTTCGTCCTACCAAATGGAAAAAGTGGCCGGTTGCTAGGGAAATTTCTTTGGCTAGGTTCCCATAGTAACCATGAACCAATTTTTTTTTTATTTTACATACATGGATCATAGTGCAAGAGAAATCTATGTGTGGAAAATCATCAAATTCTGAGAACCTTTATGTATCACTTTTATACCCATTTTGTCTGATTTTTATATGGACTGGTACTTAAAATCTTACGACTTTTCAACTTTATACACAACCATTCCCCACGATAAATTAACGTCCAGGGTTCGTATGCATAAAAATTCTTAAATCCTTAAGCATATACTTAAGTACTGTTTTCCTGCTTAGCAGATTGGTATTTTACTTAGCATATTGCTTAGAATGTTGCATAAAACTTCTCAACTCTTAAGTATATGCTCAGCATATGCTTAAAGTTTAGCATGGTCTTTACTTTTCTTAAGTTCTTATAGGCATATTGTTTAAGATATTTCAAAGAGGTAGAGGAACAAATATAATTAAAGGAAATTTACAAAAAATGAAATAAAAATATGAAGAGGTAATTAAATCAATGAAATCAATTACAATCTGCATGGATCTACTTTATTATATGACATTTATATACTTTTCAAGATGCTAGCGATTTATTATCAATACTGTTAAAAATATGACGTCATTTAATTGTTGCGTAGTTTTGTCAACGTCCAGCACCTGTGATAATGCAGTGTAGTCGGAAAAGCCCTTTTTAAATTCAATAGTGCGATGTATTTCTAGCAATGTTAAATTATTCTTACATTTTCAGAAGAATTTGATTTACATGTATCCCATATTACACGTAATTTATACATGTACAATCATTCAATCGACACCTCAATCGTGGATAAATTAGGTAACGTGAAAGAGAGAGAGAGAGATCTAGAGAGAGACTTAATGACTTTGTATTCAGAAAAAACGCCAAATATTACACGAGATTATATACACAAATTTGAAACGAAACCTAAATTTATTGTGGAAAAAGTGTTTACCATGTCCTCTAATTCTAAGATAAATAATATCAATTTCAAAATTAATTTGATTCGCTCTCCCTCTCAAATATGCCAATTTTTCTTTACATCCCCCACAGTTTGTTCATTTTTTTCTCTCTCTTCTCTCTCTTTTTTTGTCGGAGTAGCTGATAATATAAACATATCATCGATATCATCGATATCAAACAAAATATTTTGATCAATTAAATCGATCAAAATATTTTAAAAAAATAGTTATAGCAGGAAGGTGAATCATAAAATAAATATGAATGATATTTTCCATAATATTACTTCTTTGCTTCTTCATCATTTCATCATGACGTGTTTGTTTACATTTAAGTGAAAGCGGAAGTGACTTTATTGACATGGCAACAGTGTACTTAAGCAGATTGCGATATGCTTAGCTAAGAAATACTAAGCATGTTGCTTAGAATTTTTATGCAACGGAAATTAAGCATGTTACTCAGCTAAGAATATGCTTAGGAAATTTAAGCATATACTTAAGAAAATTCTTAGAATTTTTATGCATACAAATATCCAGGTTTTTTGATATCATTGACAGCTGCTTTTTCAATAAAAATGGAACTCGTAAATTTACTTTCCTTGTCATTGGTCATTTGCAAAATCATTTTGTTAAAAACATTCTGATTGTACACACAAGTACTTTGATGCTGAAATTAAAAAGATGCTTGAAATTCTGATTGACAATATCTATGTGGTATTTGGAGACGAGGTCTTCCAACAATCTATTGGAATTTCCATGGGTACCAATTGCGCCCCGTTATTAGGAGACCTTTTTGTATTCATATGAAGCAGAATTTATTTCAAAATCTTTTATTGAAAAGAAGGAAACACTTTCTATGGCCTTCAACTTGACAATAAGATATATCGACGACGTATTGTCAATTAACAATGGTTATTTCCATTTTTATGTCGATACGATATATCCCGGTAAGCTTGAGATAAAAGATACCACAGAGTCTGACACATCTGTTTCATATTTGGATATTTTGCTTAAAAAAGACGTTAATGGTAATCTAACAACAAAGTTTTATGATAAACGTAATGACTTTAACTTTTCAATCGTCAACTTCCCTTACTTATGCAGCAATATACCTTAATCACCTGCATAGACCGTTCACGGTAGCTCAGTCGGTAGAGCGCTCGCTCCGTGATCGGTATGTCGTGAGTTTGAATCTCGGCCGCGACTGACCTAAGTCGATAAAATTGAATTGCCGAAGGATTTTTCCGTTATTTCCCGATCGTGACAAGGGGCGAACGGCGGGTGTGGCCGCTCGGCAGGGGATGCTCACTCCTCCATGGCACCTGATCCCACCTCTGATGTTTTGGAGGTCCGTGTTTGCTCTGCTCCTATTTTGTATTGTTTAATGGACTTTTGAGCTTGAATACTGTTCGTTATCTCCATATATTTCAATCTACGGTGTCAGGAATGGGAGATTCGTGTTAATTACAGATAACGGATTCCAAATCATTATGAGTTTGATTGAGATATTATGCTTTCCGAAAAGTAAGTTTGATCAGATCATTTTTTGCCCATAACATCAGTTATGGGTGGTCTAAGAGAGTATCATTTCGATATTTAATTTATGTTTATGCTATACTACTTGACTAATTATGCATTTTATTGCAATTTGCATTGTATAGTAAAATATACATGTAACGAAATATTTTCTTTAGTAATTCATTTGAATTTTATTTTATTATTTTGGAAACAGAAATATGGAGATAACGAACAGTAATCAAGCTAAATAGTTCATTGAAACAATAAAAATGGGGAGCTGTGCAAACATGGACCTCTAAATACTGATTTGGGAACAGGTGCCATGGATGAGTAAACATCCCCTGTAGACCAGCCACACGCGCCGTGTGCTCCTTGTCATGATCGGGCAAACGAAAAAAATCCTATGCAATTCAGTTTGAAAATAATGGCCTTATGATTTGTATGAAAAACGTCGGAAAAACATTAAAATATTGATTTTCAGAAGCAACTCTTTCTCTCTCTCTCTCTCTCTCTATCGCTCTCTCTTATTACTACAGTGGTAGAAAAACATGTTTATCAAAGGTTTGAAATAAAGAGCCATAATAAGGTGAAATGTTTATAATTTAACATTCGTTCTCATTATTCAGAACATAAATATTATTTCGCAACTTTCCAAATACACATGTGACACAGTACAGTCGTCCGCCTGATTAATCTATGCATAATACACGTATTATTGATATAAATGCAAACACCAATTTAGCAGGAGATTTTTGAAATTGGTCTCAGATTGAAAGAATTACTTAGAAGTTTCGCAGCACGTTAAAAAAAATGATATAGTGGGGAAACAAAACGTCAATCCTTTATGTACCTATTTAAACCTGAACCTTATCTATTGTCTCCATTACTTGTTTATGCTGGAAAAGTTCTGATAGTTTCTTTTATAAAGGCTCTGCAGATAGGACACTTGCGCATAGCAGGTGCACAGTGTGCACAGCAGCACAAATGTCCACAAGGCAAAAATGCAATGGCAACGTCTTCCTCCAAACAAATCTACAAAATTAATAATGAATTAGATAAATATGATACCATGAATGAAATCATATGATCCTGCTTGGTTTAGACATGCACAGAGTAAGTGGTGTAAAGGTTACTTTATCTATTTATACAACAGTATCACCAACCCGACATAGTCTTTGCTCCCTGAGCTGACGATTTTCTTCCAGAAGGGAATGCGTTTCATCTGCATGAAAAAAAAAAACTTGAGCATCTTAGATTTATTTTTTATAATTTTCAAAACATGCTTCAATATATTTTTAATGCAATATTGTGGAGGCTTGTTCATGATTTAAAGTAAGTACCATTTAAATCAAGTGCCCCGACTTCAGCAGCTAGGGACATGTCTTCAGGAGAGATTGTTTCCCCTATATATATTGTATACATAAACAAGTAATTATTGATTAAACATATAATTTGCAATATGTCTTTTAATGTGTAGATTGCTTTTTAAAGAAGAAATTATAAACTGTCGATAATTAGGAAGGAAGTCTAACTAATGCTTTCTTATCAAATGCCAGATTTTAATTTTAAAATCATAATTCCGTATACATGTGTGAAGTTTCTTTTTTTCTTTTACTGTTAACTATGTCCTGTTCTATTTTGCAGTCTTTACAAAGTATTTCTATAATAAACTTACAGCCAATTATCAATAGTCAGGATAAGAATTATGACCAATTTTTATAAATCTATCTGATAATATAGGTATTTTTACGTGGTTTATCGCTTTCTGCTGCCTCGGCATTGGAATCCATGGTGGTTGTCTGATAGTTATGTGAACGCTGATGACTTGGTCCTCGAGACTCAGCGATTGGTGTCTCGGTTATTAAAATTTCCTCTACTAATTCTGATGGAGATACACCTATGAGTAAATTGTCTTGATTAACCTTGTGGGAAAATTTTAAATTCCTGAAAATAATTTTTCAATCAATAATTTTTTTCTTTTCAAAACCAGTACATACATGTATAATTCTCAGGAAGAAAGACCATAAAATGGACCACTTAGATAAAAAAAAAAATCAAGTACATATACCAGTTTTTCTTTTCCTTATTTTCCTATAAGCATCCCTTATTGTTTCCCAAGTGTACCCCATTTCGAATACTTGCTGTGCTGCTGGAAACTCGTCGATGTTATGAGTTTGTGAATCGTATTCTTGTGCTTCCACTACTTGTCCTGGATTTTCTGAGTCTTGGGAGTGAACATTCAATACTAGATCCACAAAGTCTTGACCGCGGTTTTGTAACAAGAAAGAACATTTCGAAAACCATCGGGCATGTTCTACCCAAGCATCGTCGCCCGGCTCCCAGTTTCGCAGACCACCTAAAACAAACATTGATAGGAAAATCGTACATTTTGGAGTTACATAAAAATCATTCTATGCAAATATTGACTAAAGATTGAGTTTAAAATTGGGGGAAAAATTATACTTTCCTCCGCATTTTCATTTATTAAATTTTTCTTCATGCTAATGCAACCACAATCAACCATCTGATCATTTCCTTTGACTTACCACCGCAAAAGAAACATCGAACATAGTCTCCATACCCGGCATAAAAGAAACCTGCTATACTGAGATTCCGAGGAGTCAACATAAAGTGTGACGGCCATTGTTGAAAACTGCTAATCCTAGTGGCTAAAACGGAATAACTAGGATATCTTGGTCTCTCAACGACTACTCCAAGGGGTCCTAGAACTTCTTGAAGACTGTTCGACGGATAAGTTGGCTGTCGGTAAGGTGATCTTGCAAGAGCTTGACTTGTGTGACATGGCTCAACAGAGGATGAAGGTTGAACCTCAGGAAGAGATTGATTACTGAAGTTGGATCCAATTGGAACATTGGTTTCATCAATTCCTGCTAGATGACGACAATTTGGAGAAATTTGTCTATGTATTTCTGTGACGTTATTGCCAGTCCAATCACTAACACGTCTACCACATAAAAAACATACACACTCAAGATGATTTCTTGTATAGTAAAATCCGGAACGAGCAAGACGGACGGGGCTGTGAGAGATACATAACGGAAACGTGGAGAATGTTCTTAATCGCAGCCACTCATATCTCATGTCATTGTCAACATTATTACTCTTTAGAGCTCCGCTGAAGAATGGTTCTAAAGACCCAGGATTTTCAGACAAAGGATAAGTGGTTAAGGTTCTTGTCTTAGATTGAATACCCTTATAAGAATTATCAAATATAAGGAGACTGTAAAGATATACTTTCTTTTTACATATATATCCATTGCTGATCTCGTTCATATAGCTGTAGATGCAAAAAATAAGCGATATTAGATTTACCAACATTTCTTCGTCCTTGGTAGGCATGCTTGGTTTCTTTTCTTCTTATGGATTTCCTTTCAACAACAAAAAATAGGTGTTGCAACAATTAGTATAACACAACCCTTTTCTTTAAGATTTCTTTCATTATTTTACTGCTGCAGTAAATATAAGCGCATTGATAACTCCAAATTATATAAACAGATACGTTTAATCCTGATTCCATATATAATTATTCTTATGTAGGCTTCAATCATATGAATATTTACCTTATTTATCAAATCATCGTGTTATACGAAATGTATTGGTTAAATTACATCATAGTGTCGTTTAATGGTGATTTGCTAATGTACATGCACATGCAATGCAAATCAAATGACAAATATATATGTCATATCTGATCTTGAAAAACCTAGCAGATGAATAATTATTTTCAATTTGTTTTTATTAGCGACGTGGCGATATACACGGTACATATACCTCCCCTTGATTGTATATTATATTTAGTTACAGGATGTCCATTATTTTATTTATAGACATGACATCTATGAGTTGTACATTTTTAAATTTATAACAAACATGGGTTTATCTGTTAAGTGTTAAACAACAATGTCATATAAATAAATTTATATATATATATATATATATATATATATATATATATATATATATATATATATATATATATATATATATATATATATATATATATATATATATATATAGATAGATAGATAGATAGATAGATAGATAGATAGATAGATAGATAGATAGATAGATAGATAGATATTTGTGTGTGTGTGTGTTTGTTTAATTAATATTCTATTGCAACCAATATAAGAGTTTCAATACAATGCATTTATCCACTGAGAAACTTACATGTAAAATAACTCTAAATACAATAAAATTCTTGAGAGAATCAATATGTCAACTTATACCCCTGACCAATGATTTTCAACTTTGTAGATATTCGCTTTCATCTTTATATTTCTGTGAAGGACAATATTTGATGTATACATTATTGTGATTCAAAAGAATATGCTTAAAACGTGAACGTGTCATATGACGGGCATTGCTGAGTGTTGTCCTTGCTTATGTTTGTAAACAAATAATCGTATCCTCTCTGCGCTTTACCTTACCGATATTTAAAATTCTAAAAAATAAATGTTGCCTTGAACTATGTAGACAACAAAGAGTCGCGTTTGATCATTTTATTTTTTAAGATAAATGACGAGGATATACGGTTATGTATATTGACTCACTAGAGTGTTAATCACCGGATTTCCTCGTCTGGGTTTACCCGGGGTAGTTTTGTTACAATTATCAAGTCATATTGGTACATATCTATGAACTCATGAACGTACATGCATTGAATTAGTAACACAAAATATATTTTGCCTCTTGCCAATGTCCTACGATTCGTACAGACATATATAGAGATATGAAGCAACTGCATTGGAATGGAATGGGACAACCTAAGAGTGTGTTTGTGTGTGTGTCCTCCCCTATAATTTTTGCCAATATATACTTAACAATAGCTAGAAAACAAACAAAATTTACAAAATAATGATGTCTATCTTTTTCTTTGCTTGTCAAGGAATTTATAACACCCCCCCCCCCAAAAAAAAAAAACAAGAAACAAGATGTTGCACTTCCACAGACCTGTGCTTTTGAAATTAAATTTAATTTAGACATAATTTAGAAATAGCGTTCTTAAAAGGGGAAACAAAAAAATACAAAGTACTTGTACTTAAAACTACAATCTAAAAGTGTATTTCACAAAATCTAAGTTTAGAATTTAAAAAATCTCAAAAACTGTTATATTTACTGTTATTACTACACAAATTATTACAGTATATTGTAACTATATTTTTGTAAAAAGATGTACACTGTTAAATTAAAATGTCACATGATTGCTCAAACTGTAACAATGTCTCTTAAACTGGACAGGTCTGATCTTTTTTTAATAAGTTGCTAATGTACTTACCGATACTGTAGTTTATGAATACATAATAGACAATACGTACCCTTTCTTACTTTTTGTGTTTGAATTAACAAAGGAATATGAACAAAGAAGTAACACCTTTGTTTATTTGTGTTGCGATTGGATGTCTGCTATAATTATTCAGGTGAACAAGGTTAAAGTTTATTGCAATTGGTGCGTGCTCTTCAGTGAACATGTGTGCATCATGTATGCATGGCATATCAAACTTTGCAATTTTTTTTTTATTTTTTCCATTCTAATTCACATACAATACAAACTGAAACTTAATAGAATGCAAACGTTTTATTTTTATGCAATAAAAATGGAAATAATACAAGTAACGAAATATAGAATTCTATTCTACACATAGAAATTATAGAATACCAAATAGAAAAATTAAAATACAGATAAAAAAAAATATAATATGGATTGTGAAATATACAATATGAATGGAAAACAAACAATACAAATAGGGAAATATAAAGCAATATAAAAAATTTTATAAAAGTTGTCTAAATCTTTAATTATATACAAAATCACCAAAGAAATACCCAAATTTTTTCACAGAGGCGTAGCATCGTTTTGAAAGTGTGAGCCAGACAGAAAATCATTTAATAAATTATCTGAAACGTCTTCAAGCAAAAGAGAAAAAAAAATGTCCAAACTCGAGAGGAAAAGAGAGGTAAGCTTCCAACTTTTTTAACGAGAAAAAAATGTATATATTAACATGGAGGGTTCGACCATGTTTCAACCAAACTAGAGTGTACATGAAGTATATGAAGATAACGAACAATATTCAAGCTCAAAAGTCCATTAAACAATGCAAATTTTGGAGCAGAGCAAACACAGGCCTCTAAAACATCAGAGATGGGTTCAGGTGCCATGGAGGAGTGAGCATCCCCTGCCGACCGGTCACACCCGCCATGTGCTCCTTGTCATGGTCGGGAAATAACGGAAAAATCCGTCGACAATTCAGTTTGTAAAGAATGGCCTATCAATTAGTATGAAAAACGTCAGTCAGCATTTGACTTAATGATAAATTGTATTTGCTGACAAGGTTATTGTATCGGCCATAGAACTTACGAAATGACGACTTTAAACGAGACTGCTGATATTCTTGTTTCATAACTTGTTTGTCAATAACTTACCTCGTTTTAGATATATTTTCATACGTAGAACATGCTCTTGCGTGTCGAATCAGCTGAGAGATATAAACCCCGTATGCAGGTGATGAAGGTATATTTCTGCATAAATAAGGGAAGTTGACGATTGAAAAGTTAAAGTCATTACGTTTATCATAAAGCTTGGTTGTTAGATTACAATTAATGTCTTTTTCCAGTAAAATATCCAAATATGAAACAGATGTGCCAGACTGTGCGGTATCTTTTATTTCAAGCTCACCGGAATATATCGTATCGACATAAGATTGGAAATAACAATTGTCAATTGACGATATATCTAAATGTAAGTCTGCTTCATATGAATACAAAAATAGATCTGCTTATAATGGGGGGCAGTTGGTACCCATGGCAGTTCCAATAGATTGTTGGAAGACCTGGTCTCCAAAAACCACATAGATATTGTCAATCAGAAACTCAAGCATCTTTTTAGTATCATCTTCACAGTACTTGTAGGTCGCCTGCGTGGCGCAGTGGTTAGAGCGTCTGCTCTAGAATCGCGGAGTAAGGAGTTGATCCTTACGTCGCGGGTTCGAATCCCACTGTGGGACGTAGAGACCGGTCCTTCGGATGAGACTGAATAAACCGAGGTCCCGTGTCGCAATAGGTGCTGGCACGAAAAAGATCCCTCACTGCTCAATGGCCGTAAGTGCCGAGTATAGGTCAAAATTTGTGGCCCTCCACCGGCAAGTTGTGGCGTCTCCATATGAGTGAAAAGTTCTCGAGAGGGACGTTAAACAACAAATAATCATTAATCAATCACAGTACTTGTGTGTACATTCAGAATGCTTTTTAACAAAATGATTTTGCAAATGACCAATGACAAGGTAAGTAAATATACAATTTCCCTTTATATATATATATATATATATATATATATATATATATATATATATATATATATATATATATATATATATATATATATATATATATATATATTTTTTTTTTTTTTGAAAAAGCAGCTGTCAATGATATCAAAAAGCCTAGAATTTAATTTATCGCGGGAAACGGTTGTACATAAAGTTGAAAAGTCGTAAGTTTTTATGTTGTTGATTTTTAATATCTATAAGATGTATTGTACTCATAATCCAGGGATTCACGGAATATTTTCTGCAGTAAGTGAGAGCAATACATAATACCCTTTTTAGCCTTCTTTTGATAATAATACCTCCTCCCCACTTAAAAAAAAAAAAATAGCTACGCTGATACTGGTAAAAACAAAAGACTGACTTGCATAAAAATTGGCTTAAACTAACATATTAACTCGAAGAAAATGACACACACCCTAGAGTACATATAAGTAGCAGGTACCGATATCTTTTTTGAATGGTACGTACACATTGTATATCCAAAATACAAAATATTCGTCAAGGTACGCATATCATCTTGATTTTCATTTACATGAAAAATCTATCATTTATTTTTTTCAATTTTATTCTACTCCTCATACCGGTGTTGCATTGCGAGACATCCCCGGAAGGCTGGTTATATAGTGAGACTTCCCCCGGAAGACTGGCTATACGAGGGGCATTTGAGAACGCAGCTATGTTAAGGCTTCCCGAAGTTTTAAAATGCGCTCAAAACATAATATGTCATTGCGAGGTCGGTTTTGGTTTTAATTTATAAGTATTGAACTTTAGTACTTCCATTTTATATAAAGGGTTTCCTCGGCTATATATTAACATATTTGTTATGATATCACATGACTTTGTTGGTCACGTGACGGTCATTTATAATTTTTTGAAGTGTTTCATATAAATCGCTTCGGCGCAGCTGATTAACACAATAATTATTAACATTTTGTTATATAAATAAACTCATCGTATCCTTGTGTATCTGAAATGTGCTTGGGAAAAGTCATAGTATTACTTGGGTACAAAATATTTCCTGAAAAATTCAACTTACCTACAAATTTGAGGGTATTTTCCACACAATATCGTAATCTGTATTAAAACAAAGCCAAAACAAATTTTTCCCAAGCAAGATTCGGTTAGAGAACAACCTCTTCTTACAGATTTCCACAAATATTCTTAGATTAATTCTCATTAATCACCTGCGCCAGACTCTTTTATACACACAAAATAAATTCTACCTCCAACCATGGGTATAAAACAGAGTACATTTCAAAAGTATATTTTTCATAAGAATTTTGAACATGCTGAATTTCAATCAAGGGTAGGTAAGCGGTGTATTTTTAAAATATTCGGACATACGAGGGGTGATCAAAAAGTTCGCGAACTAATTGAATTACTTCTTTAAAAGAAATAAAATGAAGTTTCAGTGTTTATTATTTTTAAAGTAGTCCTCTCCGATTTTAATCATTGTACCATCTAGTGTTAACCGATTTTAATGCACATCTGCCATTGTTCTGCCCATGCGTGAATCACGTGATCCAGGCAGTCACGTGCCATGCTCCGAAGCAGTCTGTTCAGAGAAGCTAAAAGATTTTTTTCTTACCATGCAAGTTATTTTTTTTTTTAACAAAAACAGTCCATCTGTCAGAAATGGCCAAATCTCGGCAATAGGATGGGTGGATAAGGATATCCCTTCCCACAATTAGTATGGTGACCCATCACAACCTGAGTCCTCTGTCTCGGGAGAGTCGTTTTTCCAATGTGGATAAAGTATGGGTGCCTTCTTTTTATCATATCTCATACGTTTAAAGTCTAAAGTAAACGATATTTAAGCGATTTAATAATTATATTATTGTTAAGATATACAACCATTTTTCTAATTGTTACCTGACGATGTTTCATAACAAATTGCTCAACTAAGGACACATCTTTTCCCCGGCTTGCTTTCGCTGGACAACAGAACAAACATCATTTTTAACCGTCTCCCTGTCTTTACTTAAACAGTCAATCCAATTAATGATTGAACTTCTGGTAAGTCTTTTGTCTTCATAAACCTTGTACAAATTATCATATTCTACTGCAAAGGAATTTCCAAGATATACGTTAAACTTTACAGCCGTTCGTTGCTCGAGTACGACTGAGTCAACCATTTTTTGTCACAAGTGACCTACATATTGACGTCATTTTCACATTGTGACGTCACAAACACGGAGCAAAACATTATTTTATATGTGTGCCAAATTTCATTCTGATCTGAATTGTGGTTTTGTAAATATAGAGATAGTTCGCGAACTTTTTGATCACCCCTCGTATAAGACTTAAAAAACCTTTAACGACCCGTGAATTTTGCAGTAGCTATCTAGCATTTTACATGCAGTTTGAAATAAAGTGTAAAGTTCATGACACTCTCCCCGTCATAACACCTCAAGTTTGCAGTGACTTGACGTCATTTTCCATTATGACGTCATATTTTGGTAGTTCAGAGATGTGAAGGCACAGTGTGCACTGTGATATTCTACGGGAAGCCTTAACCTACCTGCGAAGTTCTGAGAACTGTTTGATAAAATATTAACCATTTAATGAAAATTACTGAATTTGATATCATTGGACAGACGACAAAAAATATATACATATTAGGACGTCACTTTGTAATTTTATTACGTAATAACTCCGAAAATGTCGTCAGAATCTCGAATATCTAGAATACTGAACACAAAAATGACGTGACAAGAGGCACAATTTCAGTGAAGTAAAATTTTAATGTCAACTTTTGTTCATTACTCGGATGCACGCTAACGAACACAACTGCTAGTTGGAAGAATGTTTGTACACAAAGACTACAGTCTATCATATGGAGATATATTCGGGAGCTCCTATTGTTCTAAGGTGGTTTAAGAGTGTGTCAAATATAGCATGTTTATATACTTTCTTCCCCAACAGATTCTAAAAACCCATCTGTAATGATCACACGACATGACGTCACAAATACTATGACGTAAAATAGCATATTAAATACACTGTATTATGATGTAACAATAACATCAATCAACTTCCATGGCGTCGAATGGTTTGGAAAACAAAGAAAAGCTTAGGAGGACACATCTCTGTTTTGGTAACGATCCCCGAGAGAAAACCTCCTCCTACCGCCGAGATTATGGTCCGGATAGTCGATTTCCCGTACCACTCCCCCCAATCATGCGGCATTCCGAAACACCAGTAGAGGTAAAAAAAAATCATTTTTATACCTATGTTAGAGTTGTTCAGTCGTATGTCAAGCAGGACACAATTACCATTATTTACAATTAAGAGGCAGTCCACCCAAAAACCAGGCAATGCGCAGCTGGGTTAAGGACGCCCATGAAATATACGCCTTTATATATTCAGGGAAAATGAATACAATTTTAATATTTTTTTAACAGCAGTAGTTTTGATAAATGTGAGTTGTGGTGATTGCATTTATATATATCGGGTCTCTGCTGAGTTCGGCCAAAGTGACATCGCTTACATCAGCTGTTTGTCACGTGACAGGTTTAAAATTGGACCATATATGTACTACTACAAAGATCGTAAAAGTTCAACGATATACGGGCATTCTTCCGCTATAAAATTTATTTTGTTTTCTTTGAGACAAATTCCTTAACCCGAAAAGTGCTGGGAGCAACTTCCTCATGCTTGAGAATTGTTTAAAATTTAGCCGTCTTTCTATAAACTCCAGACAAAAATGTAATACGCATTGGAATAATGTTAGATTACGGAATAAATAAACGATGTACAACCAGCTCCCAGCACTTTTCAGAATAGTAGGAATAATGGATACACGGGTTTAAAAATTCAGAATTTATAGTGAAACGGATATCGTTGAACTTTTGATATTTTCCAGGGGCTGGACCCCTCATTCTAGCACGTTACTGTACAAATGTGCTCCCTACGGCTATATATAAAGTCTACACATTATCAATTTAGTTTGACAATAAAATGTGGATTAATATATTTCAGAATATGTCTCTCTTTTTGTCTGACTACGCATGTTTCGTATTTATTTTTATTTTTATAAGCCACGATAAAAGTTTGATCCACGCCTCAAATACAGAGAAACTGCGTGTCAAACTCAGAAATGACGTCATCTCAGTAAGTACAGCGAGATCAAGCTGGCTTTCATTCTGCATACGCTAAGTGCTATTATGGCAAGATAAGTTGCACATCCATTTATTTTTATAACATTTATGAGAAACGAAAGTATTTCGTGTGTTTTAAAAAGAACATTATAGTATTTATTCATCGAGATTCATTTGTATTTTAACGTGACGTCATAATAGCTCTCCCAAACCTCTGCATAGGCTGACGTAGATATGGGAGTCCTTAACCTAGCTGCGTGGGTGGCACATCGCATGTCATGGATTTTAATTATTTTTTGCATGTAGACTTATTAAAGCAAGTGTTTACACATGACAACATTAAAAAAATTTTAGTGCTCCTCTAGTCCTATTTTTGGTAAATGCTTAATTTTAAGTGCAAAAAGGTCAACATAAGGGTAAAAAAATTACTACGTTTTTATTTTGTTTTATATGTAACAGATACTCAAAAAGCTGGATGTGTCGATGAATATTATTTATAGCATAGACTCTTATCTTTTATTTTATTAATGAATAAGACTCCAATTTATACTTCTTTAGAAAAAATTATATGGTCCAAATTTGAGTTAAGCAAGTAACTTTTTGAATTGAGTATCCAATTTTCATTACGTTATAAAACCCAATACATTACAAGGACAGATTTTTTTTCTTATGTTATTATGAATACAAAGTACAAACTTTTGAATCACTCAATAAAATAAGTGGGAACAGGTATATTGAAAGAAATAAAAGGAGTCAAATTTACCTTTTTTTTTTTTTTAATAATTTTCCCAAATGAAACCGATCCCGACCGGAATTATATAAAGAAAAAAAATACTATAATTGTAATGTTAAATTTGGCTCTTTTGTTGTAATATGAGTAAAAACTTACTTGATTTATTTTTTTAACATGTTATATAGGTGGCAGGTGCCTTTAGTTTGATAAATTTGTTAATTTTGCATTATTTTCGATCGAATCGGGATCGGTTTTTACTGTAAATTTAGAAACATTTCCTAAATTTGGCTCTTCATTTTAATTTATCAGAAAAATATGCTTGTCTTTTATTTCTTTTCAGTCAGTTAACTGTTTTTAAATGAGTCTAACCATAGATTCAAATTTATGTATTATTTAAATTACTAATGTCTTTTACGTACATGAAGATTACATGTAAAACATCTGATTGAATTCTTAATAGATACTCGGTATTTAAAAAAAAGTATTTGTACATGCATTATGCAACAAATGAGAGCAGACAGCTTTCTATCTTTATTATTTATCTTATTTCCAAGTAAAATTTCTTTTTTTATTTCCTCAGGAATTAAAGAGTAAATTCTATCAGTGGCGAAATTAAACTTGCCTAAATACAGGAAATATTTTTATGTGTACAGTCTCGACTTTATCCAAGTTTTTTCTTACCTGTCATCTGTAAAGTCTTTTCCTCTTTTACAAAATTTGATTTTATATAAATAAGAAAATAAGTTCTTTTATATATAGTATCATTATTCAAGAGCCGATAAATCGCAAGCAAAAAGGGGGGGGGGGGTGTCATGACATCATTATTTTTAAAAATTGGTTTCATGAACGTGAAAACATTTTAGAATTGGCCAAAATAGTCACATGTTTAAACTCCATATTAAATGTGAGTGTGTGATTGTTTCAATCGCCAAATTAAAAAAAATAAATAAGTAAAATAAAAAAAAAACGAAATGTTTCACTAAACCATCTTCCGTTTTAGTGCCAAATTATAGTGGGGAGTTCAGCAGTAGTTTAACTCAATACATATATTTTTATAACTTATTTTTCAGGGGTTTTTTTCATTTTTAATCGTAATTCGGATTGTTTATTTTGATTTGACTGCATAGATAAATATATTTAAGTTTTTACAAATATCATGAAGTAAACATTTCAACTTCGTTGAATTAAGTATTGCGTAAATCTAAAACATTCATCATTGATTCCCAATTTTATAAGAAATGTTCATGATAAACACTTCATTAATTATTTTTACGCATATCCTAGTAAATCAGTTAAAAAAAAAATTAGTTCTCAGACATGTATAAAATTACTTATCAAAACGTCATCTAGCTGAGACGCCGCCCGTGTATAAAATACATTTGGATATTAAAATATTAATTAACATTTAGAATAATGCACTCTGAAGAGTAATTAAACAGAAAAAGAGAAATCATTTTTTTTAAATCTTTTACGCAAAGAATTTACAAACTTCTCTAGAAACTTGTAACTATTTCATTGTGACGCAATATTAGTCAGGTATATGACGTCACTGATACATCAATGGAAACGTGGATTCAACCTGAATAATAGAGCCAATTTTAATCTAAATATTACGTATGGAGGCGAAAATGAATTATATTTTGAAAATAAATTATTTAGTTTTTTGTTTAATTATTTTCTTTAGTGTATCAATTCTAAATATTTCACCAGGATTCCGATAAAAAGGTGTTGAGCAGATTTACCGATGCCACGGGAGATAACTCTTGCATCGCAAAATTTCATAAAAACGTCCTTTTATTTTGCCAGAAAACTACCATCAAAAGTGTTTTTCCCACCGATTTTATTTTTTAAACAAAAATTTGAAATATTTCTAGATTTAGTTAAATGTGAATTATAGTCCTGTTAAAAATGTATTAGAAATTACAGTTCTTTGTTTCTGACCTACATTCAATGGTTTATATAGGGGCATTCAAAAACACAAAACACAAGGATATTTTACTAAATAAGCAATTATCAAACAAATCTTCGATTACATTATTCCTTTTGGGCTACATTGATATTGTTTTTAATAAAATATCAAATATTCCTCACATTCGATGTGCCGCCTATTAATACAATACTGCCTGGTTTTTCGGTGGACTGCCTCTTAATTACAACAGAGTTGAATTCATTTATTGAAGAAAATCTGTTATTTTTGTGAATTTGTATATGTAACTGTGTTTCAGTTTTACGTATGTATTAATTGAGTATAGGGATAGGATATCTATGTAATGAAACAATTGAGGATTCGAACCCCTCCCCCCCCCCCTTCTTGATACTAGTAATTTTGGATTTATTTTTTTTTTTTGGAATATGCTGGCGAACTAATATATACGGAGATTTTAAATTACGTGCAATAGATAGTTAAATCGTCGCTGCAAGACTTATTAAAATTTAATTACTCTTTGAAATACACGTAGTAAATGACCTTGCAACTCGTACATGTGTGCGTGTTGATTTTGAACTGCAAGCTAAATTATATGAAGTAATATTTAAAGTTGCATGATGAGTCAAAACCATGTGTTTCTTTTAAGAAAATTGTATCACAAACAAAAGATTTCTGTGAAATATGAATATAGCGAAGTTTTGACAACTCAACTGCACTGTAAAGCAAGAAAAAAATAGAAATATGTCCATAGGACATGAATGCCCCGCCGAGGGTATATTAGTAATGCAACATTTTAACACAAATTGAGAAAAGTGAGGTCAAGGTCAAAGGAAACGTCAAGGTGAAAAAATATTGATGCAGTTGAATAGCTTACATCAGTATGTATCAGCATATGAAGTTTGACACTAATTTGAGAAAAGCTTACATCAGTATGTATTAGCATATGAAGTTTGATAAAAATATTATGAATGGTTTCTTTAAAACTGAGCTAAACACTAATTTAAAAAAAGTGAGGTCAAGGTCAAAGGAAAGGTCAAAGTCAAAAAGTATTGATGCAGTTGAATTGCTCTCATCAGCATGTATCAGCATATGAAGTTTGATAACACTATGTTGAATGGTATCTTTAAAACTGAGCTAAACACTAATTTAAGAAAAGTGAGGTCAAGGTCAAAGGAAAGGTCAAGGTAAAAAATATTGATGCAGTTGAATAGCTTACAGCAGTATGTATCAATTTATGAAGTTTGATTACACTATCTTGAATGGTATCTTTAAAACAGAGCTAAAAACTAATTTAAGAAAAGTGAGGTCAAGGTCAAAGGAAAGGTCAAGGTCAAAAAATGTTGATGCAGTTGCATAGCTCTCATCAATGTCTATCAGCATATGAAGTTTGATAAAGTTGGATAGTTTCTTTGAAACTGAGCTTTGAACAGAGCTAATCGCAAAGTGTGACGGAAGGACGGAAGGACAGAAGGACGGAAGACGGACATGACAAACACTATATGCCCCGGCCATATTCATGGCGGGGCATAAAAACTGCTAAATATAAGTGCCGGAAAAACAAATGTTGTATCTATCGCTTTGTTTTTATCGTCAATGTCTACAATGTCAAGGTCACGCGTCCTTTATTTTTAGCGTGAAACTTGTAAACAACATTGAATTGGGGCAAGCAGAAGTAAGGAATAAGTTATGATCATCTTTGTATCAAAATTTTCAGTCATCAGACATTTATATCTATGGAATTGAAACCATGGTAAATTCTTCAACTTTTCAGCGCATGCGCACAATAAAGAGGAAGACGTGAAGCAATATTCACAAAGATTTTTTTTTTTACTTTTATTTTTCTCCATTAAATTTGATTTTTTAGGTTCTGAAATGTGTAATTTTCTGAAACCTAATATCTTCAAGAACTGAACAAAATTTGCATGTGTCATGCAAAAATTCTACTTTTGTCAATTTTCCCGTTTGTCCGTCACAGTGTCACTTTAAAGTGAAATTTCTTTATTGATAATTTTTTTAAACATCTATTTTGCTATTCAATTGTTAATTTCTAGGTACTGCCCGTCACGGATTTCAGCACAGAGAGTAGATTCCTGACATCAAACAACCAGTATTTTAACTTGTACAATAAGAATATTTCTGATACGATACGTCAATGCTGTCTACGGGATTTCAATATCAACAAGGCCTTACACGGAGGGAGGGGCGTGATAAACTATCAGGAAAAACTCACGCCACTGACCAGGTCAAAGATAGACTACAGATTGGTCAAACATGAGACGGGCCCAAATAGCCAGAATATCATCCGAAAAATCAAAGAAAAGTCTAAGCCCGTCAAGTAAGTAAATATTCTGTTTATTGATGACTTTCTTCCATAATTTCTTGTATGAGTAAAAATTGTTTATTTTCTCTTGGTAATACAAAAGTAAAAGCTGCATATAGCTTTGCAGCATATTAAAGAAATGATTTGTTCAATAGAATGTAATTATGCATTATACGGGGAAAACAGAAAAAAAACAAACAAGAAATGAACAGCAAACACTTATACAGATGAAATGTTTTTACAATGTCCAGTTCAAGCCCAAACTTTTGCAAGTGCATGCATCTCCTTTGAAGTTATGACAGTAAACGATATTATCTTCTTTTTTTAAATTGAAATAAATCCCATGCAAGAATAAAGCTACTTACACTGTTGTAAATACATGAGACTTTTATATTATTTTGTAAAACCACTAAAACTTTTTAAAGAATGTGAAAGCAGAATGGGATATTGGAGAAAAATCTCATGGTTGTTTTTACATATATATCCAACCATACTGCATTTTTATTAATTTCCAAATTACAATTAATCCCTCAATTTTAAAAGATGTTTTTAAAACATCATTCAACCGAGGGAAATCATAATCTACCTATCTAGGAAAAAATGTCTCATAAGTGCCCAGTCAAATAGATCCATAAAAAAGCTCCAAGTTACAAAATTAAAAGCGCGTGGCTTCTTCATTTCGCTCAATCCAGAATTCAAATTGTTAATCAATGAAAATGCAGCTGGTTGGAATGAAATGCCAATGTAAGACTTATTTCTCTTCTACTTTATTTTTTCATTGGTTTTATTTGTAGGTTGAATAACTTTGAATCTGCCGATGTCTCTGAGGCAATGCAAGCTTATCAATGGCCGTTAGGGCACCAGCTTCCCCCATGGATACATCGACGAATCGGCGCCAAGTAGTTTAATAACTGTATATTTTTTTGAATACCCTAGTATTTGATATACATAATAATACAATTCATCCTTTTTTATTTGCAATAAATGTTTTTTCTTTAATTCTTAACACTAATCTACCAATCATTATGTTAAAGTGTAAGTAATAGTTAGCATGGTAGAATTAAATAGTTAGCATTCTTGATCGAAATAAGAAAGGCTCTCAAGTTGATGGTTGTTTTATGATGATGCACGTAAAACAACATGTTATTGATTAACAAATTGGCAATCCATAAACAAATTTCTTTTATGTTCACCAGAACAAATGAATACACACTGATAGTTGGGAAAGCATTTAAATAATAAATCACTACTAGCTAGGTCACATTTTCCGACAGTTTCCACAGTTCTACATTCTTACGCAAGACTTCGTCAAAGTAAGAATCTGCTTCCGGGTCTGCTGGTGAAGATTCGAAAGACAGAGATCTCGCGCGATTCAGTGAGATCGAGAATCGTGGTGGGAAATGACCACTGAGACTTAAAGAGAAGAGACTGTCGTTGTCGTCTGCTGATTCTTCAGAAATATCTGCAAAAAATGAAAGTATTTGTTGTTGTATTTACAATTGACCATTCAGTAAAAATTTTAATGTTACACAGAACACGGCGTATATAGGGGGTTATTGACAAGTGCCAATTGCAGGTTTATTTAAGAAAGAGCGACAAGATGCTGCGTGTGTCAGTGCTGGCTGTGACAAGTTATAAAATATTCCCTTTGAATTTTACGATCTTTTTGAAAAAGAGAGAGGGATATGACAGAAGTTCCATGAATAGCGAAGGTGATTTTTCGTGAATATAACCACGTATTACACTCGATCCAATGGTTTTGGGGAGGGTAATTCATTATTAAATTATTTTGATATACATCATGTGTTTAACTGGACTCAAAAATTTTGTCAAAAATATAGGAGTGAAACACTATGATTTCACACTCTCTTTCATCTTCACTAGCCAATGGTTCCTGATCAGCTATCTTCTTTTTGAGGGAAGAACCCTTGGCTGACTCTGTGCAGGCCCGTAGGAAGCAATTCCAATTTGGGGGGGGGGGGGGGCGCACAGCCATACATTTTCAGTTGAGAGGGAACTATCAACTACCTAAAATTTCTTGACAAGCAAGAAAAAAATAAGGTCATCAGACGTTTATATTGAGGGGGCACAAGCATATAGTATCTATATGTTTTCTATAGCAATCTATATATCGGCAAAATTATTGGGGGGGGGGGGGGGGGGCGGTTCCTACGGCCATGCTGTGTATTTAACAAACGATTATTTATTACCGGAGATCGGTATTATTTTTGCGGGTATTCTGAATGTGAATTGCTTTAAGGTATCCGACCCATATTAGGACCTAATTTTCTAACCTTAAATATCCATCCTGTATTAAATACTATGATATTAATTCAAAGCATTTTAGAGTAGTAAAGGATTTACCAAGAGAATTTTTCAAAAATATAATTACCTAAGCAGTAATTAATTAATGAAGATTGCATTGATGTCTATGGGGACAAACAAATTTTTGAAAATAAAAATTTAAATACTAAGAATATCAAAAAATGCTGTGGTGGGAAAGATGTATTTAATTATAAGGAATAGAAAAGTGATTGAAAACTAAATTTTTACCAGATAGATTTTTTTAGAATTGATTTTTATTGATTTAAAGCAAAGGGGGATAACTGTTAAAGGACAGGACAAGGTCAAAAATTAGGATACATTCCGCTCTTTCATATTGATACTAAAACATGAAGATTATGTCTACATATACTGAGTATTCAGTCAATATATATCTGTTATACATTCAGACTCACTGAATCTGAGGCTATTATGGGTCCGATACCTTAAATAAAATAAAAACTCTTGTTTGACAAAAAAAAAATATACTTATTGATATTATGTCACAGTTATCTATAAGTCTGGTGAATCGTTCCTTTCTGCAAACGCCCATGGGATAAAATTACATCCATGTATGACTTGAGAGTGTTCAGAAAGCCAAAAGATGCGTTAGTACATGAATGTTCTTGTCAGGCCGCTGGCAGGAAAAATCAATAGTCATTATAAGATCATGGAATTTCTATAGTAGTTTGCACACATTCCATATGCTTTAATGACAAATAAGGAACATTTCAAAATATGCACATCTGATCACATTCAGTTATTTTCTGAACCTACATACCATCAAAACTTGAAGTAGCACTGCTGAGCAGACTTCCGGCGGAATGGTTAATCCTACAGTAATATGGCACGCTCTGTTGTCTAACCAATGGCATACTTCGTATCTGTGTGACATCAGTTACGGACACATCTAGCCCACTATCAGGGCTAATGTCCGTGGATGATTTACTGTCTTTGGTAACTTTTTGGTAAAATGCTTGAATGACTTCACTTATCTGAATGAGCTGTTTTAATAGCTTCACGTCTTGTTGTCGAAGAGCAGCCTAGAATTATACTTGTAACTGTTGATTGTATAAAGAAAAACTCGTACAATTTTAGAAAATATAGAGGCATAACATGTACAAAATACAGTTCATAACAACTATGCTTGATTTAGCATCAAAATGATCAAGAGAGTATGGCATTATAGCGTTGATTTTTTATTGTCTGCATCCATCGATCTGTTTCAAAAACCAGCAGTCTGAGCATGCTGTAAGTATTGCTGAAGCAACATGTCCCTTATCAGCTCTAACATATTTGAACAATATATGCATCTGGACATTTCTTTTTGGTATTTTTTTTTCAAATGCTCGAATTTGCCGATGATCGACATTAAATTACGACAAAAGTGTGTGTGTGTTGGGGGGGGGGGGGGGGCAAGCAGCATCTAAATGAAAATTTACATATAAACTACAGTAAAAGACTATAATTAAAGACCGGTAGTAATAAAATAGCAAAACAATCTTAAGATTCTCATTAAACTTTAAAAGGTGAAATGCAAGGTAACGAACGGTGATCAATCTCATAAATTCAATTAAACAAAACAAATCGTGTACAAGGCAAAAACACGGACCCCTGAAAACACCGGTACCATAGGTGGGATCGGGTGCCTAGGACCGCCGTTAGCCCTATGTATTAATCAGACATACAGATTACTCCGTGTCAAACTTAGTATAAAAAGAATGGCCTATCGATTGGTTTGGAACTTGTCAGTCAAAATACGAATCAACAATGTTATATTTTCAAACAAAATCGATATAAGGATCATAGAATTTAGGAAAGGCTTTCTTTAAACGAGGTTGTTGAAATCCCTGTAACATCAACTTATCTGTCGGTAGCCTGCCTCGGTTTAGAAATTTATCGTACTCGATCAGAGCATGTTCTTACATTGTATGTATCGAATCAGTTGGGAGTCATAAACACCATTTGCAGGTGATGTTTAAATGTTACTTTTTTTAAAAACATTTAATAATATTCCAAATTAAAAGAATTGCATTGGACTAGGTAAAACAAAGAGGTTCTTGAAACTTTTTTTTCATTGATACATCCTAATGGACCATCATGCATTCAGGAAGACAGGGTTGGAATTAAAAAAAAAACGTATTAATCAATCAACAACTCTACTGAAAGCAGAAGTCAGTGTGTGAAATTTTCATGAAATATCTGAAAGTTTAACCTGTAAAACAAAATTTCGATTTTCAATCGATAGAGTATCAATTATCAAAGGATCGGGATTCTATGAAACTCAAACTTGATCTCAAATTAGGAGTGTAAAGTTAATACCAAAACATTAAATTTTGTTGATTATTAATTAATAATAAGCCACAACTACTACAAAACCTTTATATCTTATAAAACTCTTAATTATCTGCAACTTTTCTACATGTATATTATACCAAAGTTTATATCTAGTATCGCTCCAGCCCCCCCCCCCCCCCAAAAAAAATGAATTCTGGCGAACTTTTTTATTATTGATTTTCGGTCAATAAAGGCTATACTCCTAAAAATAACCAAAAATCATATACATTTGTAGATATCGAATCAGTTACTTGATATGTACATCAGTGTATTCAGGGATTTTCAGTCGACAAAAAGTTGTAACTCCAACAAAAAGGTCAAAATCCTATCTAAAGACAACTCCCCTACAAACAGTAGTGTTATAAATATATTTTCCAGTATCTTGAAGTGTTCCAGAAAACGTCCTATCTAACCGAAAAAATAATGACCATATAATATTAAATCAGAATAAAATCTACACATAAATGTCTTGTTCTGTTATGTCTGACTGGGTCTTTAGAGCAGAATTTTGATTGGTACACCTACTTCCTAATCATTTAATTTTTGTAACATTTCGTTTGCTGAAGTTAATCTGAAAATATCTAGAAACAGAGAAAAATTATAACATTAACTTTAAACATATGATTATATTAAAGAGAGAGAGAGAGAGAGAGAGAGAGATATTTCCAAATAAAAAAAAGGTTCACTCAATCTCAGAGACTCATATTTATAAAAAATTGTAAGCGATTTCCGACGAGACACCTACCAGTTCCGATTTGATTTTATGTAGATTACTATTCACTCTATCGACTATGCAGAGGTAGTCCTTAGCCACACAGCTTATTGTCCGATCACCTGGCACACAGCTGATTGAAGCTTCCGGTCCCGTATCTCCCATGGTCACCGTATGTCCAAAGAAAATAAAGGCAAGTTGCTGCTGAAGAAGTTGTCAGATCTTAACCAGTAAGTATATGTATTCCTGCTGTAATCCACTAAGTCTGTGTTAAACACGCATCCACGATGTCCGTGTATGTCGGAGAGTTCCTAAAATCAATACATGAGTACATGCCTGAGCAACCATCGATTTTGCAGTTTTATTTTTGAAAGACAAAAAAAAGTTTTCCAGGTAATGAGTTTTAACACGAGAGTTCTTTTAATGATGAACACAATTAGTTCGCGACGCCAGTCGCTTTTGAATTACTAGTATTAAAAACTATGCTTTTAACGAACGAGATGAAGGCTCGGATAAAAGAGGAAAATAACAAATTAAGTGATATTATCAGTTCCTGCACATCCTCACATCGTTTATTACAAAAGATTGTTTCTAAATTCTCTGCACTGAATTATGGTAATATAAACATCTGACAATTTCCCTCACGAATTCGCAATACAGTTTACAGTTCACCGTCAAAAAAAAAAAAAAAAAAAAAAAAAAAAAAGATATGAAAATCTCGCCGTGACTGGAAATTTGGATGCGAACCAAATTGCGACTTTTGATCAGTAACTTTTTGTAAGACAATTACGTAGCCTTTAAGACAACCTATACAATATCGTTCCATAAAGTTTACTCTCTAGTTATATAATTACAAGACAACTTGCACTAACAGAATCATTCAAAACAACATGTGTATTTCATTTTTGGGGGTGGTGGAATTTAGATGCATTGATCAATCATCTTTTTTTTCTGCTGACATGTAGGTGGAGGGGGGAAAATATCGCTGTCATCAAAATCTAAAATTGACACGTATTCTCAGATTTTACCATTAAATTTGTTAAAAATGTCAACAGTAAAATATTGACTTTAATCTACAATTATATTGATTTTTGTACACCCTTTAAATATTATTAAGAGCTTCATATACACTGTACGTGGATTAAAATAAAAAAAAAGGAATTTCAACAGAAAATGTAATTCTAATTGTTTGTTCTTGTATTCTTTCAGTGTTATTAAAAAAAAAATCAATGCAAGGGTTATAAAAATAGTATATATAATGAATGCTAGTATATATAAATTACACTAGTCACTTTCTTTTAACACGAATGGTTCCTGAAGGGAAGATCTTACATGTCCTCGTTTCAGTACAAAAATTGCATTGCTTAAAAAAATGAACGTGGTTCCAAAGAACTTCATTTTTTCTATACTGACACTTCCTTTAGTGCATTCATTGATAGTTCGCATGCTTTTACCATCGTGTTTGGAAACATCAAGTTGGCTAAACATCCCAGGATTTTTGCTTTCTAACTGGACTTGCATATATTTTTTGTTTGTTTGTTTTGTGTTGGGGGGGGGGGAGGAGGCGATTAATCTCCAAAGATGACAAGCAAAATAACAATTTTTAAGGGAAGGTACAACAAAATAATTTTAAAACAAAAGTTTTTAGGTAATTATAAAAAGGAGTTATTCTACACTGTAGATTTTTATCCCGGGATGTTTGCGTGGGTGGTGTTTGGAGTGTTTATATTATTTAAATAAATTTTTAATACCAGATGTCTGGACTTCAGTACCCCCTTAAACAAGTCTGACAACGAAAAGCTATAATATCTTAAACTGACAGAACATATTATAATGCATATATTATAATCGATAAATTAATATGTTTTGTTTTAATAAATTTTTATTACTAAAAATATATGATTTATATATTTTGCTACTTTGGACAAAATATTTGATTGTTGAATTGAGATGATGTATATTTGTTCCAAAGCCGTCATAAAGCATTATACCCTATTCTAAATAAAGCCCCCCCCCCCCATTTATTTTACCAAAACAATTAAATATGTATATCCTTCTGATTAATGCTGAAGAATAATGCTGATATAGTCTCCCCCTTTTGAGAAAAAACGAGTTACTATGCCGAGTGATTCAAACTGAAGTACACTATACATATATACGTGAGGAAGGGGGGAGGGGGGCACTATAATCGCCTATGTTATCACGCCCTATAATCTGTAAGTACTTATATTGAAGAGATTCGATTTTTTATTGCATGCATTCTGTTCTGTGTGTTTATTGTTGCTTACATGTACATATTATACTTAAACTATATATGTGTGACAATTGTACACTTAATACATAGGGAAAGGAGCTTTTAAGTTAAGAAAGATATTACAATCCTTTGGAATAATATACAGAATTATTCAATAAAATATGTTTCAACTAGTACGCTATCGATTGTCATATCTTATACTTGTTTCTTAGCAATTATCTGTTGCCCTCATTTTGTCCTTGTGTGAAAGGTACAGTGTATGACACAAATTCTAAAATCTATCGTGCCCTCCCCCCCCCCCTCCCCCATTCAAAAAGTAGATAGTCCATAGAAATATATCAGAACAAAAAATATTGGTTTAAATTGACAGCGTACATTCTGTTCAACCGAAAATAATTTTAAAGTTCATGATAAGTAAATTGATCGGTTCTTTTTTTCTATAAATAATTCAACTATATATGTTAGTTTTAATTATCAAAGCCTATAAATGAAATATCAAAACCGACAGTCATCTTGCTCCACGCCTTTAAAACTATGATCCACTTAGATGCATGAACGTGAGAAATACAATGTAAAGGCCCGTCAAGCAATTTCAGTTTGGGGCACACCAAACATTTTCAGTTTGTGTGTGTGTGTGTGTGGGGGGGGGGGGGGGGGTTACTACTTGACAAGCAAAATAAGAAAAAAAATCATCAGACCTTATTAATGATGTCCCCGTTCCTACGGCCGTATGATGCATGAAAGTCACTGTGCTTAGTGTCTGTATACTATCAGTATAAAGCGTGATCTTCGTTTTCGATCATTTAATGAAAGTTATATCAACCATTGTACAGTTTTGTACATTATATAAACTTTTTAACATTGTTATGAAACTTTCCTACAAAATCTCAAATTTAGTTCAGATAATAAAAACATACAAATTAATCTTTACTCACACTTGCCTTGTTGCACACGCGTATACTCACGCCATTATTGAAATATATCCCATTTATACTAAATAAAACCCCCCTCCCTGTTCAGACTTGACCCTCACCACACCTTGGTAGTCTGTAGACAAAACACATCCGAGAATTACAATATTGACACGACACTTACGGACAGGCTAAAGTCAACACACTTCAAGATCAAAGTCAACAAAACCTTTATTACGCATTCAGTTAGGTATTGTAAATACGTGATCAAATATTAAAAGTTTGTCTATTATTATTTGTATGAATAATGCTTCGTAAAACATCATTTATTTAAAGTTTCTGTTTCATTCACTAGTGCCGTCAATGTAGGTTTATGTTAAATTTATCAATTTTGCAAGCATTATTCCCTTATTAAAAGAAATTAAGAAAGGTTGAAAACCCTTGATGAAAATGTCAACATTTAATATAAAACATATTTCAACCAGTTTAAAACTGTTACATTGCTTGCTATCATGTTTAGATTTTTATTGATGTGTCTATAAATCAATACAGAGAAGTGGATCTTTTTCAACCATTTTACCATTATTATTATCATCTAAAGGACGAGTCTTTATGTAAGTTAGTTAGGTGTTTAGCTGTGAGAGAACATGGTTTAATGTAAAAAGGAGCTCAATAAGGTCAGACGACACGTTCCTCAAATATATGCCTTGTATCTCTTGATATTATATAAAGAATTATTCATAATTGTCATTATCTTGTGATTTCTAAATTGTTTTCAATATGTTAATAAAAGTACACCAAAAATTGTGACATAGGCCATTCAGAAGAGTACCAATATGGATTGTGTAAGAAATATATCATCCTCTGGTATCTTTTCCAAATCACTGGTAAGTCCTCAATTTTTGTGAGGAAACTTGTTTAATTACCTTTACTTAAATGACAAATGCTTGGAAAAAATTATATATTTTTAGGAACCTTGTCTTATTTTTAAACGTTATGGTATTGGGCAATGTTAAAAAAATAATATACATGTAAGTTAATAGATCCTTTTCGCAAATATGGTGATCCCGTAAAACCAAGCAAAGTATTGCTACCAGCCCTCTGATCGTGTATCCAAAAAACCCGATTTGATAATTATCTCCCTTGCCATTGCTTGTATACAGGCTCCGTGTTATTTTCGCCATTTCAGATTTCATACGATTTCGCCCTGTTTTAAATTCTCCCTCTTTTTTCTAAATCGCCCTCTGACGAAGAAGACGAAAGGGACAGAAAATTGTATACATACTTTTTTTTATTTTCGTTCCTTAAATTTCGCCCTCATCGCAGCTAGGTGGGCGAATTTAAAACCACGGGAATTCAAAGAAAATAGGGTTATCTCTTTAACAAACAGTGTCCATATTCGTTAATGAAGGGTTTCTGATCCGCTACTACATGTATCTTCACAAGGAGAGTAGAAGATTAGAAACCCTTGGCCAGGAAGATGAACCGTGTCTGGGCGAATTTAAAATGGGGCAAAATCGAGAGCGAAAATAACACATGGCAAAAAACCCTATATATACAGTATTCTGATATCCTGCACAATTTCTCTCTTCTAAATTCCAAGATGCTTGATTCATTTCTTGCTAATCTTCACCGTTCTTTACACTCGGTCCAACTGTAACTCATCCTTAAAATTCATTTACACGCCTTTGTACATGTATCTCAATTAGCGTTAAACACTACATCGCAGTCAAATCTTGTGGAAAAACTGTTTGTAATTATTGTCTATCTTTATATTTGGTAAACTGAACTAAACATATACATTGTACTTCATCCTTTTTTTATCTCAAAATATATAGATGTATATATGCCAGTTCTGAGTTTATTTTAAAGCCCTTTTTTTCCAGAAAAAGAGAACAACACGTCTTTGTGTAAACATTTTAAGATTCCTTTTCAAAATGTTTATAAAAGCAAATAATTAATTTATAATATTGGGCATTTCTTTCCAGTTAATCAAGATAATACGATGTGTAAATTAAAATATCCTAATTTTTATTTAAAAGATAATTTCAAGGTCACAAGATAATGTCCATCACAGATAAGCTTGCACCAGACTAGAAAAGATTTCGACATAATGGACAGGTAGAATTGTGGCTTGTCTGGAACCATTTGTACTGAAAGAAAGAAAATACAATTGTCATTAGTTTCATATAATCCATTTAGGTTGCTGACAATAAATCTGAAAAATCTATGTAGGAATAAATGTATTTTGAAAAAGAAACATAAAAAATTCTCACACTAAGAAGAGACTCGGTACATATATTGGTGCCTGGGTTTTGATATATGAATACCTTATATACATTTACATATAAAATCACCTGTATTTATATGTTTATGTCATCATATACATGTTCATTTATATTCTTTAAATTTATATTCCGGGAGGTAACTCCTGACTCACCAGACAGGCTGAGTGGAATTTTTTCTTGCAGGTTTTACATGAGAGCCGTGGTAGCTGGAAGTTTGTGCCATGTAGAACAGAGAAACAGATCATACAGTCATCCACTCCCTCAAATCTCTTATCAATGTTCCTCCTCCAGATCCTCAGGCCATCCATTATACTACCATTCTATGTTATACAAATATGTAGATGAGTTATGAAGACAAGCACATTAATACAGTTAATAACATGTACAGTAAAACATGGTTATAGCGAATATGCTTATAAGAAATTTACACGTACAGCAAAGAGATTTCATTTCCTGTAGTTTTAAATAGTGTTGTGTCCCTGACACTTTGTATAAGTGCATTATACTGTTCATTTATTCTATGCATACAACAAAAAATTAGGAAAGTATGGTTTTTTACTTCGCCATGAACTCAAACAGAAAATGAAAATCTTTTTCTTGTGTACAAGGAATTTAAAAAGATAGATCAAAATTTCTTATTAGATTTGTGTGAAAAACTGAAAATTCAATGTGGTGAATATATGAAACACTTCATGAAATTTAAAGATAAATTTGTTTACCTGGTGCTGTAAAAATATGTTCAATTGCAGCAGCCATTTGTCCCATTGCTGGGCTGTGACTCCAACCTTTTTCTCACTGGATACAGTGATGTTTCCAAGGGGATAATTCTGGGGAAGAGTGATGACTACCTCAATACATACCTCCTCAAGTGTGTGTATAGCCACAACCTCACGAGTGGAGGGGCGGGTCTTCACCTGAAAAGTAGGAACAGAGATTCAAATTATCAATCATAGTAAGAGTTTACAGAATTGTGAGAATAGTCTGGCCAAAAAAAAACATTTAGGGGGAAAGTCTACAATATATTAATTAATCATTTGAGAACCACCAAACAGAATCTAGAGAAAAAATATGGTAAATTAAGCTTATAGGAGATTGATCTAGATTCCATAGTCACCTAATTTAAATATTTTAAACATAAATAATAAATAAAAATGAATAAATATTTTTCTTTATCATTGCAACAATATGTAAACAATCAAGGTACACTGTTAATATCTACATGTTTAGATACTGTATCAAACTCACAGTGAAATTTACGTCTTTCTTGTCTATTGCGTCCAGAGAGGAGATTTCTTCTGTACACAGAACAGGGCTGACATATTTACTGGTAAATCTGTAAAATCATTTATCAGTGATACAACAAGGTCTAGTACTGAGAAACCAATTGAAGAATATGAATCCAAGGTTGGATGGACATACTATCAATAAAACTTTTGTTCTAAAGCTTGATCAAATGTGAAAACAATAGTCCAGTGAAACATGCTTATAGTGAATTGACGCTTATAGCAAAGTTATTTTCATTCCCCATGACTTTAAAAATACATAACTGAGATTCTTTATATCGATATAAGGAACATACTTTTACAGTAATGGAAAGTCTTTTGGATTTGTAAAAAGATCCTTATAACCAGGATTCCCTTATAAGCAAGTTCCTTAATTACCAAGTTTTACTGTAAATACAAGTAAGGCAAAGCCCTAAAAAGAATAACTTTAGTTGTAATACTGACTTGTCTACATAACTGACAGATTTCCTGTCTTGGTCCTTCCACCACAGTCGTACCAGGGCTGGTGTTGTCTTCAGAGCATCTTTATAAACACTGCAGGCCAACTCACATATCTCAAAAGCACTGGGCTCACCTGGGGAAAAATACACAGTGTTAAAGCCTACAGCAAAGCATTGTTCTATCAAAGATAACCTTTAATGTTAGTTTATTAGAAATTTTCTGTCTGAACAATATCAAAATCAACATTTCCTTCACACTAAGTCTTGTGAAGGGAAAAAAGTTTTTTTTTTTGTTGAATAAAAAGATATAGATCAAAGCATACATGAACACAGTTAAAAGTCAGTTAAACACTTTTATACTACAATAGTATTGAACATTTCTCAAACAATTAATTTTGGATAAATTTCATATTATAAGAACAAATATAGAATGGAATTTAAGTTCTGGCTTTACCTAATGCCTGAAGAGAAAAAGGTTTCTCAAAAATGTTGCTTTTGTCTTTATTGATTGGAACCTCTGGCATCAACCGGAAAATAACCGACATTAGCTGGCTCAGGCAGCCATGCTCTTGTAAATAAGCTGCATATTTTGACCGTAGCTGTAAAAATTATAATTTGGCTGAAGTCTTTGCTTAATTTTACTGCCTTTTAGTTCTTGACAATGCCATCATAGTATAAATTAGATTTAATTCTATAAGATTGAAAACAATTTTCTCAATTTTACCCTTTCAACCCTGAACCATGTTTGTAACAAGAGGCCCAGGGGCCACATCGCTCACCTGAGCACTATGGCTAGGAAAAAGCAGAAATCACTTCAATCTTGAAAGGTTGAAAAGTTTAAATATAAAAGTGGTTGGGGGGAGGAGGGGGGGTGTCATGAATTGAACAAATTTGAATCTACATTATCTGAGGATGCTTCCATTTAAATATGACCAATCATGGCTTTGCTGTTCTTGAGTAGAAGATTTTTAAAGATTTAACCTATGTATTCCTATGTAAAACTTTGATCACCCATTGTGGCCCCAACCGACCCCCAGGGGTCATGTTTGAACAAACTTGAATGTACACTATCTAAGAATGCTTCCATATAAATATGACCAATCATGGCTTTGCTATTCTTAACAAATAGTTTTTTTTAAAGATTTTTACTATGTGTTCCTATGTAAAACTTTGATCGCCCATTGTGGCCCCACCCGACCCCCGGGGGTCATGATTCGAACAAATTTGTATGTACACTATCTGAGGATGCTACCATATAAATATGACCAATCATGGCTCTGCTATTCTTAACAAATAGTTTTTTTGAAGATTTTCCCATATATTCCCATGTAAAACTTTGATCGCCCATTGTGGACCCACCTGACCCCCGGGGGTCATGATTTGAACAAATTTGAATGTACACTATCTGAGGATGCTTCCATGTAAATGTGACCAATCATGGCTTTGCTGTTCTTGAGAAGAAGATTTTTGAAGATTTTCCCATATATTCCTATGTAAAATTTTGATCGCCCATTGTGGCCACACCCGACCCCCGGGGGTCATGAGTTGAAGAAACTTGAATCTACACTACCTGAGGATGCTTCCATGTAAATATGACCAATTATGGCTTTGCTGTTCTTGAGAAGAAGATTTTTAAAGATTTTTTCCTATATATTCCTATGTAAAACTTTGATCGCCCATTGTGGCACCACCCGACCCCCGGGGGTCATGATTTGAACAAACTTGAATCTACACTACCTGAGGATGCTTCCATGTAGATATGACCAATTATGGCTTTGCTGTTCTTGAGAAGAAGATTTTTAAAGATTTTTCCTATATATTCCTATGTAAAACTTTGATCGCCCATTGTGGCCCCACCCGACCTCCGGGGGTCATGATTTGAAGAAACTTGAATCTACACTACCTGAGGATGCTACCATATAAAAATGACCAATCATGGCTTTGCTGTTCTTGAGAAGAAGATTTTTAAAGATTTTTCCTGTATATTTCCTATGTAAAACTTTGATCGCCCATTGCGGCCCCACCCTACCCCCGGGGGTCATGATTTGAACAAACTTGAATCTACACTAGCTGAGGATGCTTCCACATAAGTTTCATGTTTTCAAGCACAGTGGTTCTTGAGAAGAAGATTTTTTAATGATGCCATTAATTTTTCACAAATTCTTAATTATCTCCCCTTGGAAGAAGGCGTGGCCCTTCATTTGAAGAAACTTGAATCTCCTTTACCCAAGGATACTTTGTGGCAAGTTTGGTTGAAATTGGCCCAGTGGTTCTTGAGAAGAAGTCGAAAATGTGAAAAGTTTACAGACGGACAGACAGACGGACTACAGACAAAATGTGATCAGAAAAGCTCACTTGAGCCTTCGGCTCAGGTGAGCTAAAAATGAGAGTAAAATAAGGATTGTCAGATGCTACCTTCAGAATATTGAAAGATACAGATAAAACAGGTAATCCCACTGGAATTGAGGGACTACTATTCATGTATCATATTTTACCTCTGCTGGAGAATGATGAAATGAGGTCAGTAAGAGTTTCCATGACAACAGATATGCCAGAACATGTTGAAATATTTCAGAGAATGGTTCCACAATGAATTTCTGATCCACATTGAGGTCTAGTAACACAGTAGACAGAGTTGTTGAGTGTTTGTTTCTAATAACTTGTATCAGTGAGACAGGGGGACTCCTGCAAAACAAATATAGCTAAATGTCAGTAACTTAGATAGGCCAAAGCAATCTGAAAACACTTAATCTATTGTTTCTAAAGCAAGATGGGAAAAAATTGTTAAACCATTTTTGTTTTTTTTTTTTTTTTACTGTTTATAATTTCTAAAAAAAAAAAAAAGAAAAAGCTGTCAAGAAAATCCTGTTTGATGTGACATCTCAGTGTAGTAAAAGTTTATTTCTAACTTAAGTTAGGAACAAAATAAGAATTTTTTTAAACATTGTCATACACTTTTTGGGGGGGGGGGGGGGTCTTCATGCATAAACTGTTATAATTCTGCTTTAGTTGACAGATAAGATAATGATTTGTTTGTTTACCTTGAATTCTGCTCCTCCTCTCCCTCCACATCAGTTGCCTCCTCTTTGTCATAGGTAGGAAGTTCCGGCGCAACTCTAAAATATTGACACATTTTTAAAAAAGAGTGCAATAGAAGCTAGAAGGCATATTCAATGAAAATTAGATCTTAATTTACAATTACCTCCTGACATACAGCATACACTTGGTTACCTTTTGAGAATATGATAAGCAGCTAATTGTACACTTCTATGTGGAAACATAAGACATGGGGTCATGTGATTAAGGAGAGACTGGAGAGTGTCTGGCAAGGGAGACGACTGATCAGCGATAAGATATGCTGGTAACTTGTGACCTATCACCTGTTGCTTGGGGCAATATGAAGCAGCACTGGTCACACCTCTTATTAGACAGTCCAAGACTCCTCTCAAGGGTTTCTTCCTCAATTTGCCTACATTATCATATAATTATATACAATTATTACATGTTTATCATGATCGTTAGTTGGAATTTTGTTAACATGATAATCACCAAATGTTACCACTTTAAAATCATATACGAAAGTATGCAAACACTGTAGGAAACTGACTCATAACTTATCATTTTACATAGTATTTATAAATAACTGCATCAGAAATTCAAGCAAAAATTTGTTTTGCAACAAAAATATATTAATCTAATTTTTTTTAATATAATAGTTCATATGCCATATATTCCTAAAAAAAATCTTACTAGTAAGTCCATGGAAAACTGGTAGCAGGGAAGAAAAAATTCCCTCACTGAAAAATTCCTCCCACTCAGTGGCCAGGTTCTTTGGGCATATATCCTGCTGGACTGGTGATAAATCCTCAATAGTGTGGGCCACCTCAGACACTAGGAGACAGACAGACAGGGTGAATACCTGGACAGGGACTGATGTCATCAGCTGGGATTCACTCTCACTCACTGTCTGTAATTCAGGGGAGAAAAATATTTAAAACTTTTCCCATCTCATTGTTCTGTGTTTCTTTGGGATAAAATACAAATTATTGAGTGTTAGGTATGTGAAATTTTGTACATCACAACCTCTGTAACAACATGTTTAAGTTCAATGTTTACTGCACATCAGAATTTTCATATTTAAAGGAAAATGGAAGACTACAGCGAACTTTCAATGTGCACTTTGAATTATACCTGTATAAGGCTAACTGCTGTGCAGAGAATAAAATCCCAGACTTTGTCTGATAATTTTTCAGGGAAATACTGCACTGCCCTCTGTAGGAACCTGACTATTTCTACATTAGCAAGAACCTTAACTCCATCAGCATCTGTCAGATTACTGTAAAACAAGAGGCCCATGGGCCACATCGCTCACCTGAGTAACTTTGGCCATGCTGTTCTTTACCAAATTTCCCCTTTAAATACCTATTGTGGCCCCGCCCTACCCCAGGGGGTCCTGATTTGAACAATTAGAATCTACACTACCCAAGGATGCTTCCACATAAGGTTCAGCTTTTCTGGCCCAGTAGTTCTTGAGAAGAAGATTTTTAAAGATTTTTCCTATATATTTCAATGTTAAACTTGGATTCCCTATTGTGGCCCCGCCCTATCCCCGGGGGTCATGATTTTAACAGTTAGAATCTACACTACCCCAAGATGCTTCCACATAAGTTTCAGCTTTCCTGGCCCAGTGGTTCTTGAGAAGAAGATTTTTAAAGAATTTTCCTATATATTACAATGTAAAAGTTGGATTCCCTATTGTGGCCCCGCCCTATCCCCGGGGGTCATGATTTTAACAATTTAGAATCTACACTACCCCAGGATGCTTCCACATAATTTTCAGCTTTTCTGGCCCAGTGGTTCTTAAGAAGATTTTTTAAGATTTTTCCTATATATTAAAATGTAAACTTTGGATTCCCTATTGTGGCCCCGCCCTACCCCCTGGGGTCATGATTTTTACAATTTAGAATCTACACTACCCCAGGATGCTTCCATATAAGTTTCAGCTTTTCTGGCCCAGTGATTCTTGAAAAGAAGATTTTTAAAGATTTTTCCTATATATTACAATGTAAAACTTGGATTCCCTATTGTGGCTCCGCCCTATCCCAGGGGGTCATGATTTTGACAATTTAAAATCTACACTACCCCAGGATGCTTCCACATAAAGTTCAGCTTTTCTGGCCCAGTGGTTCTTGAGAAGAAGATTTTTAAAGATTTTTCCTATATATATCAATGTAAAACTTGGATTCCCTATCGTGGCCCCGCCCTACCCTGGGGGTCATGATTTTAACAATTTAGAATCTACACTACCCCAGGATGCTTCCACATAAGTTTCAGCTTTTCTGGCCCAGTGGTTCTTAAGAAGAAGATTTTTAAAGATTTTTCCTATATATTTCAATGTTAAACTTGGATTCCCTATTGTGGCCCCGCCCTACCCCCGGGGGTCATGATTTTAACAATTTAGAATCTACACTATCCCAAGATGCTTCCACATAAGTTTCAGCTTTTTTGGACCAGTGGTTCTTGAGAAGAAGATTTTTTAATGACCCCACCCTATTTTTGTCTTCTCTTGATTATCTCCCCTTGTGAGGGGACTTGGCCCTTCATTTTAACAATTTAAATTTCCCTTTACCCAAGGATGCTTTGTACTAAGTTTGGTCAAAATTGGCCCAGTGGTTCTTGAGAAGAAGTCAAAAATGTGAAAAGTTTACAGACGGACGGACAGACAGACAGCTAGACAGACAGACGGACGGACGGACAAACGGACGACGGACAAAATGTGATCAGAAAAGCTCACTTGAGCCTTCGGCTCAGGTGAGCTAAAAAATTAACCATTTAAAAGACATTGTCACATAAAACAGCAGGCACTGACATTATAAAGAAGCCTCCTTGTATTTGCATAGGTTTGCTCATTTGGTAGAGGTTTCAGTTTGGTACAAATAGCTGGAGATGTCCTTAAATACTGTACATGAAAAGGTTTAGTGGGGAGTAAAATAAGAGGCTCTTGTTTCTGTAAACAAGGTAGAAGATATTATTCCACTGTGTTTTCTCTGAAAGAGAAAATGGCTGCAATGTTCGGGAGGGGGTATGCCATGTAATTTGGAGTTAAAAAATTGTGTTATTATTACACTAAGGTGTAAACTTTTATTACAGAAACAAGTGCTTAGGAGTAAAATTCATATTTTCAGCATTGACAAAGACAGAAATACAATGTATAAAGCTTTGCAATTTTTGTCCAAAAAAAATCAAAATTCTGTAGAAACCGAATAATTTATCGTAAAATTAAAATTGAACACTAACAGATGTATTATTTTTTTACCATTCACACAGGAGAAGATCATCCATCTGGTCTTTCCAGGTCATGATCTGTGTAAGTACACTTGTACCCAGCTCTGCCATCTCTTCATTAGCCTTGCTCCTCAGTGCAGCATTAAGGACACATAGTGCAGATATTCCTCCTATTTTGTATATTTAAAAAGTCCTACTCTATTATCTTTTCAAATTGGTTTATAAAAGTATAAATAAAACTGTATTAGAATCGCAAATTAAAGAACTAACGTTTTCATGGTTATCAAATATGGTATGGAGTCCAATGTCACTGCTTATTTTGATGAAAATTTGATACACATGAACAAACATGAACATATATATGAACAGTGCACATCAATTTGTGCACTTTTACTTGCCATTAGCTGACATGACAGTCTCAACATCACAACTGATGATCCTAGCAACCATGACCTCTGTCAATGTCATTAAACCAGCTATGTCAAGGTGCTGGGCTATTGTCTGTAATGTCTGGATACTGTGTTCATCTAACTCTGAGAATCTAATCATAGAAATATAATGTCAAAAATACCATAGATGTACACCACTCTCCCTCATACATGTATATACATGTCATAAAATTACTGAATCTTTGTATCCATAAAAAAAATCACGACAATTTAAAGTCACTTAATTTTCTTGAAACCTTATTTTCCCAAGAAAGCTGTTTGATATTACTTGGCGAGACAAAATTCTCATGAATTCTGTTTGTTGTTAAAGCAAAAATTTATGCAAGAAAGAAATATTTCGTGAGCAGTCTCACATAAATGGTGGCATATAAACTTCTTGCAAATAAAGGTAATTTACAGTATAGACTGTACCTCTCTATTAAGCTGCTAACATTCACTCGATTTTCAGAATCTGATAGTACTTCTGGGAGAACTTCACTTAGAGACAAACTCAAAGACCCGTCATCTTTACATCTGTAAAACAATAAACATCAGTTTATTAAAAGTTTTAAAATGTTATGTCCAAGATGATCTTTGCTTTTACCTATCAAACTAAAGCATTTAAGATTTTGAGAGAAACAATATGTTCTTGGTGAAAAGGACTCAAATTACAGCCTTCAGAGAGTGCTGTCATTACTTATAGTGGTATTTTAGCGAGATGCAAATTTAGTGATTTATCCCCCAAAATGGTAAATATTTTTAGTGAGAAGTAATTTAAGCCATTTTATAAAGTCAAGAGAGATACATGTAGCTATTAAAACCTAAATGGAATAAAGAATTTTTTAGCGATGTTCAATTTTAGCAATTGCAGAACCCTAGCTTATAATGCCAAAATTGAATCCTCGTTAAAAATTCTGCTTAATGTACGGAATGTATATTCATATGTTATACCTGTCTAGGCTGTAATTAATCAGAGCAGTTCTCTTCTCGTGTGACATCCCCAGTACCAGAGATTTGGTTTTCTCTTCCAGTGTCTCTATTCCTTTCACTGTGTCGGCAAATCTTACCAACTGAAAAGTACCATACAAAACTTAAAGTTATCTGATTATGTTTAATCACAGATTGTCAAGCCCCCTTCCCCAAATTTCATTTTTAAGATTTGATTTTCACACAGAAATCTTTCTTAATTCATTTCATCTGACATTAATATTTTGTAATCAAAACTAGCCCACACACACTTTATTCAAAACTGAACAAAATAATGTATTGTGTGTACATGACATGAAGTCTTATGACAGAGTAAAACCAAATAAATGTGGATACACAAGGGTTGTCCAAAAAGTTGGTGGACAATGGCATTTTTGTCAAAATGAATGGTTCAAGATATGCTTATTGTATACCAAAATATTAGTCATGAAAATCGAAGTCGGAAAAGTTTGGTTTTTATTGATTGAACTTAATATTTTTGTAAAAATCTCGGTCATTAAAGGTCAACGATAGTGCGCACGGACCAGGGTTAAAATGCCATGAACTTTTTAATAAAGTGATCTGATTGAAATGATTATTTTCTTTTTAAAACGAGTCAAAGCTGAATAAAAATTTAACATATCTCAAATAAAGCAGTTATCACTATTTTCTGATACCTTTAGTATCGCTTACTAAATAGACAATGAAAATATTAAGTGAAAACCGCAAGAAGTATGTTTTAAAAATTGACAGAAAAAGTGACGACAGCCATCAGAACGGGACAGGGTCCAATCATACAATTATGGTTAATATAGTTGAAACGTCGTCAAAAACAAAATATTTATTCAAGCAACTTAAATTTATTGGAAAATATTTAGTCTAGTGATTTGTAATTGGTGTATACGATTTTTCAACGGTGTGTAAAATTTCGGAGACACTACAAGAAGTGGAAAACTACTGTTATTTGATGAAAATATATTCCTATTCGACATGACGTTGTTATAAACATAGCGCCGTCAGGCTGGGCTGTGCATCCTGTGTTTATGAAGTGTTAATATTAATGACGCTCATAAATTATTGTATATTGTTTTGAATTTTAAAATTTAAATTAATTATAATCTATACATAAATATTATTGCACACATTTGGTAATGTGGCATAATAAAGAAAAATGGCGTGCGTCTATGAACATGTGATAAAAAATTCAAAATTCATATTTCTGACGTTATCATGAAAAAAGCGTTACGTCAGACTGGCCTGTGCAACTTGCATATACAAAGTATTTACAGCTAAAACGTTCAGTAAATAGTGTGCATTGTTTTAATTTTTTGTACATTTACTCAATCATGGTCTATATTAAGATATTATTGTACATGTTTGCCATTGCGGACTTAATAAAGAAAATTAAGCATTTGTCCATGAACTTTTTGGACAACCCTCATACATGTATATTGCTCATGATAAGGCAAAAACTGTCTAATCCGACACCTGTGCAAACCTTATTATATTTTCTAAATTCTTTACGCTGTGTTATCTGACACTCCGTCTATACCAACATAAATTTGGTTTCCCACTGCATGTCAGATTAGACAGGTTTCACTGTATATTTTTGCTAAGAATTTCTCCTCACCAGTCTTTTTTCCATGTCTTGGTACACACGTACTAAAGCCACACTTTGTAGTACAGTCAGTAGAAGTTCCTGGTTGTCAAAGCAACAGTCTGAGGTCAATAAAAGCTGAACATTAAACAGGGTTGTGTATAACATTTGATTCAGACTGAATGAGCTGTCTGACATGGCAGGAAAGTTGAGGTAGGATAGACGTCCACTCACTAAGCAATATTCTGCCATCTACATGTAATGACATAAAAGAACAATTTTTAGCAGTTTAAAATGTCTCAACATCAATGCATTCTAAGCTTCTTCTTATGATCTAAAATAACTTTGGTATTTTCATTAAAGTATATCAGTGATAAAAATAATTCAATCTCAGTCAGGGAATCTCCCGCAATAATTTTCTTTTTACCGCTTTGGTCAAGGTTGGTTGAGTCTTAACAAAGAGTTCACTGAGGAAGACGGAGACAACTGGGTTCTCTTCTGTTTCATCTTCATGTGGGAGACTTCCTTTTATGACACCCATTAACTTCTCAGTAGAATGGAACAGACACTGAAACCTAAAATACAGATGAACTTCAGTATCTCAAGCTCTAGGGTTCGACACTAAGGCATGTCCGACCAACCCAGTCTAGTAAATGAATGGTTCAGTCAAGTAAAATGTTTGTGATCTAGACCGACTTGGTCCTGTAGATGAAATAAATATTAACCTCATTTCAGCCTTTTGAATAAATAATCTAAAAAGTTTTTTCTTTAAATTCTTATTTGTCTGATTATATACATACCCATCGCTCAGTAAAAGAAAATTTTCACTATCACTATTTTTTAGCCTGGCTGTAACAGACAAGTCACTATCGAAACTAGCTTCGTTCAGTATCAATTGGTATGAATAGTTATTGAATAATATATTCTTCAATTTATTTATATTTAGGGTACTGTACTTATTTTATTTAAGTTTGTTGAATGTTCTTTAAGGCTTATAATATTCCCATGTCCCGCTAATTTTGACTCAATGGTCTGCGACCTATGAAAAGTATGTCAAATGGTGCAAAAGACGATATCTTTATTAAAGTATGGTTTCAAACTTTTTTCCCATAATAATTAGCAGGTTATACAATGTAAATTTTCAAGTTTGGGCAGGGCTAGTGATTTTATGGACAGGGCTAGTAAAAATTAGGCAAGAAGCCCAACTGGTCTAGTACTCATAAAAGTTAATGTCAAACCCTGAGCTATGATATCTCAAATATCATAGATATCAAACAAACTAAAGATAGAATTTCCAAACACTTATTTTTTATATACATGTATTTTAGCCTTAGTTAGTAACTTGAATCCTCAGATTTCTCAGTTTTCCTCTATTTAAATGAGGTTTTAGATAATGAGGTTTGACCGTACATGTACTACATATGTACATGTATATATGAATTAATCATATATATATGAATTAATTCAGCATTTCAGAGGACTGAATCTGCACTGCTTGCTACCTTTATTGTTTATCTCATTAGCATTCTATCTGCAGATATTGACATAGAAACATGATTCACTGATTTAAATCTTACAAATCCATGGTTTCCGTCCTTAGTAATTGTTTGTGAATAACATCTTTGAATCTGTATAAAACAGATCCCTCCTGAAGAAATCCTCCTGTTTCCATGACAACAGATGCTATCCCAGAGGTCCATGCAATTTCTGCTTCCTGTCTTGTAGAATCTGAAAAAAAAAGAGAAATACAAGCATGACTATGTACTTAATAAAAAGTAACTGCAAACTGAGATTATATTCATATCAGATACATAACTAATGCCTCAGTATTTTACAAAAATGATTATCTGTTGAGATATACATGTACATATATGTACATGACAAATATTCTCTGTAGCTGAAATGGGAAAAATCAAACAAAAATATTTTCATAAGAACCTTGAAGCTGGAAAGACTGGTCTACACAGATGGAGAATAAAGACACCAGTAAGTTTTCCCCTGCATGTACCATGCCTGCATCCTGTAATTAAAATTACCAAAATAGTTCCATTTCTGATACAAAAACATCAAGACAGAATAATGAAGATCAGAATTAGGTGTTCTGTACCTTTAGATGCAGGAAGAAACTTGTGGTTGCCTTGGCAACAAATTTGACAGCAAGGTCTGCTTGCTGTATATCCTTGTTGAGTTCAAGATCAGCCAATGACTTATGGATGGTCTGTAGAATACCATGTACTGTAGCTGGTTTTACTGTTATAATAGAAGAAAATGGTTGATTAAAAAAATCACATTAACATGCACATGCCCTGTAGTGTGTCTTATTTCACAGATCAATATATATATATATATATACACACAAGTTTATTTTGCAACTTTCAAATATGAGAGAAAAACAATACAACATGTGTATAACAAAAACTGATATACATGTATGTAAATGACAGTAGGAATGTAGGACAGTGGAAACATTTTGTCACCAGTGCAAGAAAATCACAATTCATTACATTAAATAAATTATGGATAATTCTACAATTTATTACATAAATTTTACAGATAAATCTGTAATGCATTGCATCCATTGTTAATTTGCTGTCTCCTTGCATTGGGTCATATAATATGCATATTTTGAGCATCATTTCTTGACACTGTATGAAAGGGATTGGAAACAAAGGTTCAAGCTCTAAAACTTAGATAATCCTCCTCGAACATTTATGTTCATGTACTAAAGCAATTTAGTGATTGATTATATCTATATTTTACTGCATACCAGACTTTTAGTTTAGTGCCAGATAATATATATAACTGTGTATTATTTCATAAGCAAACCCGAAACATTGCCATGACAGCTTGATGTGTACCTCTATCTATCCCTGTAGATAGAACCAGTGTCAGGATGTCCCAGCCTTGTTGTATCCTATCCTCATCAGAGTTCCCCAGACTCTCCTCACACACAGTGTGGGCCACAGAGACTATCTTGTCCCCCAGGGAATCGCTGTGGAGCCAGTTATCTATCCCCACCATCTGCTTCTGCATCTGTACCATCTTACTCAGTAGGTTGTAAAACACAGAGAAACTGATGATTGTCTGAAAAAATGACACATTATTTATTGTCTATTTATGTCCCAGTACATCTGGAAAATTTTTAAATACAACAATTATCAACTAACTTTTCTATTTTTGCTTTATCATGTTTAGGGATTTGAAACCTTTCTTTTTGTACAACAGCAAATAACATTTACTTCACACAGGCATGTACAATTATGTAATTTTTTTTCGAGTTTCACTTAAATTTTTACAGCCTTACCTTGCATAGCTCTTCCAACAAAGTGTCAATCACTGATGATTCAAGCAAAGGAATGAAGCTACAAATAACACTGATTAACTGTACAGAATCATTTTCTTCCAATTCTTGTGATTGGTGTAACCATGGTAAACAAACATTGAACACGAAGTAGCTGGAGTGTGATTGGTCAGTTTTTACATCTCCATGGCATCTTTCAATAATATCCTTAATTGTTTTCTCCTCTGGTAATAGTTCAATTAAAGCAGCAAACAAATGTAGATTTTCTTTATTGCGATTCCTATGAGCCATCTCAAAAGATTTAATTGTCACCAAATGTACAAACTCCTTAGCTCCCCTTGATAATTCTCTCCTTTCCTGCTGGTTTATAGAGAGCTGCTCCATACCAGTAACTTCAGAAGCAGCAAATTTGACTTTCATTTTTACATCAGTCTTAGCTTTGTTGCCCATTTGTGGAAAAATCAAACACTTCACAAACTGAATCAGTCTGTCTGTGAAGTACCGCTCCTCATTGGACAGTCCTGAGCCAAGCCTTTCTGATACACTGAGCCCTAGCTCACTCCAGAATTTGGACAGTGTGTGTGTGTATTCATCACTTGTCTCCAGTGTTGTCAGCAGATTTCCCAGGAGACTGTACAGGGCTGTCTTGTGAAGAGCTGAGGTAGACTCGAATAATGAGGCATGGAGAACCTGCATTATCTACATAAAGGAGAAATTGTTGAAATTAAAGATTGAAATTATGCAGCTTGTCAAGTGTGGATCTCTGGACAATTCTTGTTTCTGTATATACCTGATCAGAGAACATGATTTCCAGGAACCAGTCATCTTTGCTGCTTTTCATGGTGGATTTAATAACAAACTGAGCACACTCAAAGAATGCTCGCACTAGAGCTCCTAATTCACTGGGACTGGCTTGAACCTGGTCCTTACTCAACCTGGAATTCATTGGCAAATGTTGATTATAATAGAATATTTTTATAACAAGTACATGTACATTACTTATCAAAAAAGATAACAAAACAGTCTTTTTGGCTCAAAATTATAAAAATAAGGTCATCTTTTTAAAAAAAGAAAACATATTCATATATGTGCAAGGTAACTGAATGAAAGAAGAAATGATGAAAACTGTGTACTGAGAAATTTTGAAGCTTATTTGGATTGGGCCATTTTGCTCTAGCCATAGATGAAAAAAAATAATTGGGCTAATATTTTGTTTTCATTTTAACATTTGCTGATTCATCAAACATGTTGGAAAAAACCATGTTACATAGAATGAAAGGCACATTGTGCTATCAAATCATTACCGGTACTTAAACAGTTTAACATGTTAATGTATATGTACATACATTAGTGTACATACATGTACATATACTAGTAAAGTCAAACTGTACGTTTAGTTTACAACTTTAAAGTATACAAACTCATTTGTCATACAACATTAATCTGAACAGAGATAATTGATCAATATATCAAATATGTATTATTGCACTCTACATTTAGAGTTCACAGTTCATAACATTCCATGTAAAAATTCACAGAGCCTTCTAGCATGAAAATGAATTTACAGGATTACAAAATACAAAAGTGACAAAAACAAGATTCTTTTGGGATACATGGCTTTGAATATCTCCCAGTTTCAATTTTTAAAGGGTGTACAGAAGTTCTCAGTTTTGTTAATTTAGAACACATTGATTTTTTAAATGGAAATTTCAAGTTATCTCATAGTTCTTTCTAATTTCACTCTAAAATAATAATTTACCATATTTAGAGAATTCAATGTTCTGAAGTTGCATATTATCATTTTTCTTTATAGAAATTCTTCAGATGTACTTAATGTACTAATCAATAATATCTAAGGATAGAAGTTTTAGTTTTATTAATTTACTTATCAATCTGACCTTGCCAATTTTCCTTAACACCATTATTATACAGGTTATCATCTTCTAAGATAGCAACAATAAGAATTTTATTTTTACACACAGTCATTTTTATAACAATACATGTCCTAAGAATTTTACAAATCAAAATAGGAAAGAAGTACACGTACTTTATGATAAAAGTGAATGTACTGAATTATTTTCAAGATACAGTGTTCAATTTGTAAGTACATTGTAGATGAGAATGATTGTATGTAATTACCCAGACTTCAAATAGTTGAAAAATTCAATGTAGAACTTGTAGCCTTCTCCCAGGAGAGTATGGGGAACTTTACTCAGGAAAGGCAGTAGGTCACCACCCATTAGACAGGCATTTCCATGGCAACCATTTTCTAAATATTTCCTTAGTTTTGGCCAGAAAGCTTTCTCGATATTAATATGCTGCCAGCAGTCCTGTCAATAAGAAATTGCATTTTGGTCTCTATAAGAAGGATATTTGTCCTTGTAAAAAATCTGTTATATGAATTGTTATTTCTTTTCTAGCAACAGAGCACCTTCCTTTATTTTCAATACAGGAAACATTACAATTCCTAGAGAAACATGACATAGCTTCATATAATTTACTCAGTACAAAAGGAAACTACAGTGTAATGAGTATCAATATTAATGTCCTGTTTAATTATGTGTAGCTTGATTGACTTACTTCAATGTAGCTAGCAAGAGATAGAGCTGACTCCCACAGACATGGACAGATAACTGCATCAGTCTCATCTATGTTGTGAAGGATGTGGGTAGAAACTTTCTTGGAATGCTGGGTAATAGTCCCAGTAAGTGTCTGACACATACCAGCCAGGAATGAGTAAACTGCAGCCCGAACCTGCAAAGTCAAAATTGAAGACAATAATTTATCTTCATGGTTAGATATTCAGTTTCATCAAACATGTAATTGAAAACCCCAGGTTAAGAATTTCTTGTTTTATTTTTAATACAATAGTATGAATTTGCTGAATTGACAAATTTGCTTCAACACAAGGTGAGCACTCTCTGTGTATCTGTGGCTATGTATGAGTGAAGTTTAACTAATTTAAGATATACACTAATGTAGCGGTCATATTATCCTTACACTAATAACTTGCGATTTTCCATGTTTCCAAAATTTTGGATCTTTCAAAAGGTTATCCATATTATCTGAGAGAGATGCGAGTTGATCAGATGGAAGAGCAGTCAGTAGTTTCCTTAGAGCCAACAGTGAGGAGGTTAACACTCTGTTGTACTTATTTTCCATGTCTTCTTTTTCTGTAGTTCTAGATAAAAACACAAAGAAAACTGTATGTCATTGGCAAGCTGTACAATAATGGCATTGTAAAAGTCTAATCAAAGGAAAACAGCAAGAAAGATATCACTTTAAGGCCATCTTTTAAATGACTTTCTGTTCGCCCTCTCCTGACCAACCTACTTAAAATGGCCTGACTCAAAACTTTTTTAGAATCTCCTGGAAAATATTTTTTTTTCAAATTCACTTGAATTTTCTCATCCCATCAACAACTTATTTCATTTTAATAATACTTTCAATTTCAATAATTTTGAAAATGAAGCATTGATGTTCAAAATTTCTGAAAAAAAAATGCAATTTTTTATACTGAGTCCGGAGATTGCAAGCAAACATATTTTTAAAGATGGCCTAATGTCCATAGTTAGTATTAATTATTTTAGAGTTTTTCTGAAAACATTTTCATTCAAAATTTTTTTAAATCTTTAAATCAAATTTTTTTTAAATTAACATTTTAAGATGGATATCTCTATACAGGTATATCCTGGAAATTCTTACTTTGGGTCACTCAGTGTTAGTGGGGTCTGTCTTAAAATGTTGTCCACAAGATACTGAAAATCAAAAATGTACGATTTTATTTACTGAAAATAAATATTTTGCTTACAAGGGAAAAAACTTAAACACAGTAATCAACATGCATCGTCCATGAAGAACAAAGATTAAAACTGCCTGCTATGTTCAATTCAATAGATGTAAATGCTACTTACAAAGAATACTTTTTCCTCATTGGTTATCTTACTAATGTTACTGTAGTAAATAGTCTAATATCAACTTCCTACCCATCTATCCCCCCCATCTTCGCTAGCCAAGGGTTTCTGATACGCTACTCTCCTCATAAATCCTTGGCATACGGTGCTGACAAAGACGGGATTGTTTTTGTCATGTGATCATGATTCTTACCAGGTACCCACAGATTGCGTCATCAACAGAAATAAAAAGCGTATTTTAAAAAAAATTGTTTTTAAAGAATAATTAACAAGAAGGTATTGAGTTATGTTAATTTGTTATTTAAAAATGTAAAAATGCAAATCTACATCTTCAGTATAGATTCTTAATCACATATTTTGCACGTAGCTTTAGATATTGGATGACACCATATAGCTATTCATAGAATGGCATGTTATCTTACGGATCATTGTTTACTTGCGTTTTACATTACCGATATTAAAGAGTCAAGATATATCCCGAAGGCAAATATCGTCATTTACAAAAAACAATTGCTGATTGGTCGAACGTTGTCGATCAACTCCAATCACAACTTGAGAAAAAAATCCCAATTCTTTTTAACACCGTATGCCAAGGGCTTATGAGGAGAGTAGCGAATCAGAAACCCTTGGCTGGCGAAAATGCTATCCCCCCCTTCTCCCTTCTTTTTTGTTTGGACTATGAATTCTTAAGATTATTATGTACATGTATCATTAAAGAACTAGGGGTGAAACGATACACCTCCTTCACGGTTCGATACGTATTGTATAATTTTGTCTCGGTTCGGTTATTTTCGATACGATACATTTTGATAGAAGGAAACAAATTCAACGTTGTTTTATGCTTTCTTTTTCTAAATCTAGTCACATATTTTACGAATTTTATTTGCAAATTGACTACAAGAAATTGATTAAAATTATTTGACTGTCCAAAATTATTTTACAAGCTATCAGATATCAAAAATTTACATTTTCTATACTTATTTATACTGAGTAACGTGTTACACCCTATCTCAAACCCGACTGAATAACGATCCCGACCGAAAAATGAACCGAACCGAAAATTAGAGATTTTGCACCGTGTATCAAACCGAGAAAAAATACCGCGGTGCATCGATACCGCGGTGAACCGTTTCACTCCTATAAAGAACATGCATGCTATAAAAACGAAAATGTATGTACTACTTGTAAAATTTGTTACTTTCTGACCACCAAAACAATTCTTTAACATTTAAATGTATAACATCTACATGTGATACCTCTGTTGATTCTTGTTTACAAAACACCAGTGCATCTGTCTGTTTGGTTGGAGGAAAGGCAGTCTGGAAAGCTTGTTGTGCTGCGGTGGCCACAGTGGGATAAGTGTCACACTGACTGAGAAGCCACGCCCCCATCAGGGTCTTTAAGTGAGGAGCCAGATTTTTCCTCATTCTAAGAACCAGTGTGTTCATAGCTGTCTGAGTCATCTCCCTTACTCTGTGATCTACATCCTATAAATTAAAACAGTAAGTCTCAACAGCATATTTCATTTAAACAGGAATCAAACAGTGCAGATATTGATCAAGAAGTTCAACATACTGACAGAATATTTATTAAAGAATAATTTAATTCTGGTTATATTGCAGTATTTGAATGGATGAAAAATTTACTTTATGTCGTATAAATTGGGTTGCCTATGTCACAATGACTCGAGTCAAAAACGCATCAATCCGCCTGATGTTACATTTAAATTTTGTACAATTTGTAGTCTTTTTTTTTAAGGGCAATCATCTTTTTTCTTACCTTAAATGAATTGAAAATTAAATTATATGGAATAAATTTAATAGCTACCCAATTTATATGGTATAAACTGGGTTGGAACAGTTTACGCTTTTTAATAAACCACTTCACGGTTTATAAAGCATAAACTGCCCCAACCCAGTTTATACCATATAAATTTGGTAGCTATTAAAATCATTCCTTAATTAAGCACTGCACAAAATGCTACATTAATTTGAAATTAAGAAACCTTTTCAGTTACCTCAAACAAAATGAATTCATATTTTAAACATGAAAATTAAATTCTAAAATATTCCAGACAAAGAAGAAGTCTGTGAGCCAATGCTCACTAATAATACTCCCGCTCTGATGTGAATATACACTCTGATGTGAATATACACAAGTTCATTGAAAGAATTATCCTTTCTTAAAATTTTTTTCCATTTCAGGTTAATCTTTTTTATCATCATTAAAATTTATCCAGAAAGTCAATGTCCACAGTAACAAAACATTAGAACCAAATCAAAGCCAGGAAAAACAGAAACTTGACATCAGATTCGTACAAAAATAAATCCGAACATATGGCATGCCTAAACAAAGTGTGCTTAAATTTCAAGCATCTGCCTTATGCAATTGCTTAGAAAACTGTGACGGAAATTTGGTACGGACAGATGCAGAGATAAACAGTAAGTTAACATAGGATTCATACAAAAATGAATCCCACCATATGGCATGCCTAAACAAAGAGTGTGCTAAAATTTCAAGCATTTGCGATGAGTAGTTGCTGTGAAAATTATGGCGGAAATTTGGTTCAGACAGACAGACAGCTAGACACACAACGATAAAACAGTATACCTCCCTATTCTTCATACCAGGGGTATAAAATTATACAGACATCCAATTTCAGGATTTAACAACAACAAAAAAGCATTTGGATTGGTGCATAAAATCAGGGTTGTTCAGGTAACTGTAAATAAACAAATTTTGTTCATGGGCCTAATCTGACCGGAAACATTCATGTACGATTAAAGTATATGATAACATTAATCACTTTGTTTCAAATATCAGTTTATACTTACTAGGGTCATTTTATTGTAAATTCTTGGCCAGTAAGGAAGCACTGCTTTGACACACTCTTCATCTTTTTCTTTACATAAACTGCTGAATTCCTGTAGTGCCTTTTCATGGATATATGTAGATTTAAATATTAACTATCAAATATCTTGACATTGACATATTGAAAAAAGAAGAAGAAAAAAATGTGAGAATGGCTATATAGACATTCTACCAGATTTTAAGTGTACTTGACAGAGTTTTGAACTTAAAGAAAAAAAATTCCAGTATATATTATTAAGTGGAACTTACTTTGACTTTTGTGGTAGCATCTCTTTTGCTGAGCTTTCGAAGAACCATGCGTATATCTGAATCTAAACTTGAGTCAACATCATCCAAGCTGTGGCTTACTGGCACATATCCAGGGCTACCGCTTTGAAAACCAAACCCTATGAATCCAGTGGGGGCTGTCCCTGCCTCAAGGAGAAGCTTGGCAGCTTCACTACTGCTGGAGGGCTGTAAAGTTAATAAGTAAATGCAAAGTATTTATTCCACACTATACAGTCAAACCTCATTATCTCAAACTCAATGGGACCAAAAAAACTTCGAGATATCTGAGGATTCAAGGCATTCGGGGTAAAATACTTAAAGAATAAGCGGTGCGACTTCCAAATCACTTCAACATATCCATGGTATATGAGATATCAATGTATATACATTTACAACTTAAAATCAATTAAAAGAACATGGTTTGATAAGTACTTCCAAAGACTAAACAAAGTAAAACTTTATATCAGCTGAACACAGTCAGTATCTATAAAAAGACAACAATTTGGAGTCCAATCCACATTCACGTATGGCAGTGTGACTCCAAATTCTTATCTGATACATATATCATGGAAAAGGCATATAATCTATCAGCTGTTAATGGACAGATAAAAACTTAATAATAATTCAATTCACTTTATTGACAATTACCATGTCGGCATACAGTCATGACATAAAACGAATTAACAAGAATAATACATACATATACAAAGTGACAAATGTGAGTTGAACAAAACAATGTAGAGTATATTCTCATATTTCTAAGTATTCATTGCTGACTTTCTTTTCTGGTGTCAAAGCACTTTTTCAAAAAACAACATATCCTTCTAGCAGTTGTAATATTTGTAGGATTGACAATTATTCTAATGGGATTATCACTAGTATATGTGTTTACATTAAATATATCAGTATAATTGCATCTAAATTGGTCATACTTTGAACAGTATAGAACAAAATGTTTTTCATCTTCAATAAATAATTTAATACTAACTTTCGCATTTCCTTTGGTTCTCTGTGCTTGCTTTTTACTCCCATGTCCCGGCATTTTGATAAGGGTGAATATATCTGCCCAAATTGACTAAATGAATACTGAGGACACGATGGAAGCTTGGCAGACTGAGGTGTTGATCACATGTTGTGAAACATCTGTATTTCGTGGCAAGTCTTGTTTCCTTGCATAAAATGGTACATAGATGTAAAATTCACTTAAAATCGTAGATAAATGAACTTAATAACAATGTTATTACTCTATAAAACTTACATAATACTCTTCAACTTGATGAACAGTTTTTTTCCCGAGAAAGTATTATCGTTTTCAAATTTTCCACATTGATTTGAGCGACCATGCAAACCGGAAGTTCTTAAAATTAGTGAGTAATTCGGGGTCCCAGTAATTCCATTGGAACCAAATCGCTCAGCGTGAAATGCATCGTATGTTAAATACAAGGTATTCACTTTGCTAGACTGCCTGTCTCTATTGTACAGCGCACATATAAGACAGACAAGGCCAGTCTATTCATTTTGCTCGACAACAGCGAAAAAGTCGACATTTTATCGGAGAGTTTATGATTATGATGTTCAAAACGCTTTATTGGCTCCATGGACCTATATACTAGTATATAGTACCAAAGCCTATTAGGATCAAACTACGGTAAAAAAAAAAATTAAAAGGCGTTATAACGCCTTTTTAAAAGGCGTTATAACGCGGAAAAAGGCGTAATAACGCAAATAAAGGCGTAATTACGCCTTTCCAAAAGGCGTTATAACGCGAAGAAGGCGTTATTACGCCTTTCCAAAAGGCGTTATTACGCCTTTCCAAAAGGCGTTATTACGCCTTTCCAAAAGGTGTTATTACGCCTTTCCAAAAGGTTTATCACGCCTTTCCAAAAGGCGTTATTACGCCTTTTAAAAAAGCGTTATTACGCCTCTTTTTTTTCAATACATGACTTACTTAGCCCACCCTGGGGGCTGATTATAATTAGATTTCTAGGAAAAAAGATTTTTAAATGTGTAAAATATTTTCAGTGTTAAACCAACTTAGTTCTTCTCTGATGCCAGCCACCAAGGTGTATGGATTTCAGAAATTTTGTTGAAGGCTAATTGCTCATCATACCTATGCAAATACTTTGCCTGTTTTTTACCAAGAGGAGAGAAAAATATTTCAAATTTGACATGAATTTTTAATACGTGGCTAGCAAAGCCCAAAGCTGGTTTTGCCTATATCCTGGATTTTCAAAAGTAGAGTGTTGACTTCTCTTAATATGCATGCGAAATGCAAACAACTGTCTGCGAGATGTGCAGGAATATAGAAAATACTATAATTTATAATATTAAAACTATAATCTAAATATTGCATAAATAAAGATGGCTTTGGTTCAATCTTTCATATATTTACTATTTTAAAATAACGCCTTTCCATTTTTGGATACAACTCCTTTTCAAACAGGCCGGTAGTACGAATGTGAGTGGGGGGGGGGGGTCCCCCACCCCACTTTTTGGGAGAATAGTCTTGCTTTAGTTTAAATATAAAAAATCATTAATTGATTGCTTGGTCCCTTAACATTTTGTTGCAGTATGGTTAAACTCGGGCAAGTCATTGCATTTAAAAAAAAGTTTTACCGAAAAATTAGAAAAAGTTTCCCTCAAGTTTAGGCAGTTTATTTCTTTTCGGGGGGGGGGGGGGGAGGGGGTTGGTTTCTTGTTTTTTTGTTTGCTTGTCAATTTTATGGGACCCCCCCCCCCACACACACACTTTAAAAGCACGGGCCTGTCAAAAACATAATAATGGCCCTTCAAAAGGCGTAATAACGCCTTTTTGAAAGGCGTATTAATGTCTTTTGGAAAGGCGTAATAACGCCTTTTTTCGCGTTATAACACCTTTTGGAAAGGCAGAATTACGCCTTTATTTGCGTTATTACGCCTTTTTCCGCGTTATAACGCCTTTTCAAAAGGCGTTATTACGCCTTTTTTCGCGTTATAACGCCTTTTAAAAAGGCGGTATAACGCCTTTTAAATTTTTTTTTACCGTAGTTTGATCCTAATAGGCTTTCGTAGAAAATGTTGGATCATAAAATAATATCCTTTTCAAATTTAATCATTTATTCATGTAAACAGACGACAATGCTTGGCCGTAAATCCCGTTTAAAACTTGCGAGAACTTTATTTTTGCGTGATTAAGCTTGTTGCAGAACTGTAGCGTTGTGGTTTTATATTTTAGTCTTTGACCATCAAAGACTTAAATATAAAACCATAACGCTACAGTTCTGCAGCTATGATTAAGCGAGACATTCTTGTGTATAATTACAGGGACTTAGCATCGTTTTGAAAGGGGGGGGGGGGCAGCCAGGGGAAAAAAAAATCAACTTATCTGAAAAAAAAATTGACAAGCAAAAAGAGAGAAAATTGAAAATTACCCGAACTCGAAAATCCTATTTCGTGGGGAGGAGGGGGGGGGGGGGGAGGGTGTGTTCCAACTTCTTTCAGTATCAAATTTTATTCATACACTACTACAAAACCCTTATTTGACTATTTTACAACAAAAAGTGGGCAAAGGGGGGGGGGGGGGGGGCAACCGGCCTTTCAATTAACATTTCAAATAGTAAAAAGGTCTTTGGAAAAAAGTGGGGGAGGGGGGGGGCGGCCCCTCCATGTTGCTAAGTGTCTGAATTATATTACATGCATTAAGCCATGATTAGTCATATTGATGTCGGAGCATCCTCAGGTACTGTAGATTCAAGTTTGTTCAAATCATCATTCAAAGGTGGGGCAACAATGGGGGGGGGGGGGATCACAGTTTTACATAGGAAATTATAGCTTAAAAATCTTCTCAAGAAGAGCAAACCCATGATAAGTCATATCGATATGGAAGCAGTGCAAATTTAAAGAAGAAGGTATAATGGTTTTAGCTTTATTGTGCCCTAAAAATTTAATGTTTTCAAAAAGTTTTGAAACTGGCTTAAATATTAGTTGAGTATATGACTGTAATAAATCAGGAAAGAATATAGCATGATGGAGTACCATTCTGGATATATGACGTCATTAATTTGATGTATTTCTCTATTTTAAACAGAAAAAGCCTCAAAATGACCCACTTCAAGGGTTATTTCCCTTAAGAAAATAGTGTCCACAGCCGTTGCCCACGTTAATTTTTACATATGTTTTGTAAATTTCTTTGAAAAATCACATATCTCAAAATCTTTGTGGGCGATGCCAGTGGACAATATTATCTGAAAGAAAATTCCATTGAAAATTGATGTCCTCTGCAACTTTTATGAAAATACGGGAAAATGCACAAGTTTATGACGTCAGAATTAACATTTGGAAGGTAATGTGAGAAAAAAGATTTGTATGATCTTTCTGCATGGAATTTCAATAATTCAAAAAGTATGAGTTTTAATTTTTTACATCACTTTTATTTTTAAGAAAAACACAGGGCAAGATTTTTATTGAAACCGTACCTTGTTCTTTGTTCAACCCCCCTCCTAGGGGGCTAGGATGGGGCCAGAATATGGGGTTTCAGAGTTGAACATAGGGATATATAGGGGAAAAAATCTTATAAAATCTTCTCACGAACAGCAAAGCTATGATTAGTCATATCAATATATAAGTATCTTCAGGTAGTGTAGATTCAAGTTTGTTCAAATCACAACCCCCAGGGGTTGGATGGGACATCATCTTTAAAAACCCTTCTCAAGAACAACAAAGCCATGATTAGTCATATGAATATGGAAACATCCTCAGATATTGTAGTTTCAAGTTTGTACAAATTATGACACCTGGGGGTAGGATGGGGTCACAACAGGGTCGCAACAGGGATAAAAGTATAACATGTACATAGGAATATATATAAGAAAAAAAATCTGCTGATAAAGAACAGCAGGATCATACTACCTCAGGTGAGCGTTGTGGCACATGAGCCTCTTGTTATTTTAGTTTGCAGAGAAACTATGATGGATAAGCTCTTGAAATGTTTTCTAGGAGAAAAAGGGGTGCATGTCTCTTATAAGGACATGAACTTAATACCCTCCTCTAGATAGCACTAAGACACCCAGATTTTTATTTATTATTTTATTAATTCATATCTTCCAAGCTTTATGGAAATAAAAATCTACCTTTGGATAAAATCAGATAGTGATTCAAATTTGAAAAGGAGGGATGGATAATGTAAAATTTTAAGAGATTTTTAGAATGTGTATTTATGTGTGAGGGTGTGTGTATGTGTTAAAAAGAGAAATCGCCTGTAAAACGAACTGAAAATTAAAAGTTTTATTCGGACAGTTCCCATTATTGTTAATGGGAGCCCTGCCGCGGACAATTTCTATTGCTTTTTACGGATGGAGGAACCAGGTAATTACCTGCTCACCCTACTGTGATATATTAACCTCAACAGAAAGAGAGAATAAATCCAGAAACCAACTTCCTTGTTGACAAAAGACATTTAAAATGGAGAGCGTGAGAGATTTATTCCTAGCACTATTAGTTTTTTGGTCTATCAAGTTTTGTAATGGAGGTATGTGTTTCCAAATTATTATTTCTTTTTAGAAATGTAAATACAAAAAAGAGTAAATTTTCATTTGGAAGAATCAGTTTTTTGGTAGGAGTTGATATATAAAGATTTAGGTGTTGTATTGCACATCTCCTATGTTTGGATCAAAGGGATGGGTCCTGATCTGAGGTGGGGCAAGAGTAAAGAAAGGTAAGCTTTTCAAGCTTTAAGAATTAATTTTTCTTTTGGTGGAAGACGGACTTGACATATAAAGGTTTTGCACATTTTTTATGTTTGAATCAAAGGGATGGGTCCTGAGGTGGTGCAATAGTAAAGAATGGTAAGATTTTCAAGCTTTAAGGATTTAAAAAAAAATCTTTTCAAGTATAATGAAAATTTACTACTACATACGATTATGTACTTGGGGAAGGATATACTCTTCAAGAGAGCTTGTACAATTTAACGAATACACGAAAAACTTTAATCACTTATTTTCTTGTGGTTTAATGTTTGTGCTTTGAGGAAAAATATTGGTTCGCAGGGATTTGATTTTAAGTTTGTTTAAGAATTGTAATTCTGTGTTTTTAAAATTTTGTCATTTCATGGAGGATATGAATTTGCGGGTCTCTAAATTTATACCCCCCCCCCAAAAAAAAAGAATATTAAATCCCACGAAAATAATTGATTTTGCAGTAAGTAAAATACAAATAAAAATGCCAATCCACTGCACTTAGATGACGTTTAGAGAAACTGATGAAATAATGTCCCTTCAATCGTTCTTTTGTGTTTCATTATTTTTATGATCTAATGATAAATATTTAAAGAAAAAAGGATGCAATACACAGAAAGAAATTCATTACATTACAATACTCATGATGAAATTATTTTGCATTGTATAAGTGAGAATAGACCTTAGATCTCAGCAAAAAACAAATAGCGGATAATATATTTACTCTTAAAATTGTCGATAGATACGAATGGCGATTTTTTTAAAATAATGACTAAAAACAAAAAAAAAAAAAACAAAAAACAAAAAACAAAAACAAAAAAAAAAAAAACAAAAAAAAAAAAAAAAAAAAAAAAAAAAAAAAAAAATATTGCTTACATTCCTCCAAGAGTTTATTCTTACATCGAAATGCTAAACATTCAGTTGTTTTAGAAACGTTGCTACATTGTATCTTTTGTTTAAGATTTTGTCAATACTTACATCCAACAGAACGAAATACTGAATACTACTATTAATAAAGCCATGTTCTGCATGTAAATATACACTATTTAAGAAAGAAATATATGCAATCGGCGCGAAAATATAATGAGAAATTCCTGTATTTTCACCAAAGGTACCTGTGCGTGTTTCCAGATTTATTATTCTAGTATAGGGTTTTTAAAAATATTTGAACAAAAAATTGAGTGAAAATTGAGAAACTTCCCTCTTCCCGATTTTTTATTTTGTGGATCAATTTGTACTCTCCCCATTACATGCAATATTGATCTAACGACTCATTGAGGATTTTTTAAAATTACATGTAATAAACTCTTTTTTCTGTTTCAGTTAATTCATTGTGTGATACAGAGGCTATTGAAAGTAAGTTTGTTTGATCTCAATATATCATTGAGTATGTACATGTAGAAAGAAAAAAATCTCCTCAAGGGATTGTCGCCTAATAATGATCGTCTGTGCGTTTGTCGGTGTATCTATTGCGCCCCAGTCCGAATGTTTGAACATTAGACATGTTTGTGACAATTGTAGGAAATCATCTAAATTTTAGGTCATATCCCAAAATACAAGGCTTTTGTGAAGTGATATTTTAAATTCCATCAGGACTAAGAGATTGGAAATTTGAATAAGATGTTGTTCAATACCTAAATCTGTTTCATGATCTTGACTCAAAGTTTTCAAGTCAATGTTACAGTGTCTGATATCTTGAAATCGTGTCTGTAATAGATTACAAATGAATCTAAAATTCAGAGGATTTAACGTGTTCATCAAATTTCTTTATATTTAACTCAAATATATACTTTGAACCTTTAACAAGTTTTTAACATTTTTATCATTAAAAGGTTTATCCATGTGTTCACAAGGGCTAGTGAGGGGAAGCTTCCTTCTCATCAACGTCAAATCTTACACTCAAGCCATGTCATGCAACTGCACATTTAGGATAGAACAGGATGGATTCATTACAATAGCAATTAGTCGTGTACCAGAAATGGAAGATTGTACAAGTCAGGTTGTTCTGAATTACCAGACCAGAAAATTGATTCAGTGTTCTAAAACGCCCACACGCTTTATTAGCGCTGAAAATGGTTCAATGGGCACAATATCCTTCAGCTCTTTGTTGAACAGCCATGGCAATACGAAGTACTCGTTCCAGTTTTGTGGTGATATTTTAGAATATATATAATTTGAAAATAGATGTATTAATTTTATATGTAATTTTACAGACCTAAAAACTTTTTTATTTACAGTTACAAAGTTAGCAAAAACAGTTCCTGAAAATGTTAATATATTTTGTATTGTTTAATTTGAAAAAGAACACGAATGTTTCATCTTTGTAACTGGTTCTACAGACGATGACCCACTAATTTTATTGGATGAATAGTTTATCTCCTTCTTGTCATGAAATGTTTGCTTTTGATTCTGAATATAATGCCTCTTGTTTTTGCAAATATCTTTAAGGTGCCAAAATTTACTTTATCTGTTACGACGGTGAAGAGATTAAAGAAACAAAGGCATCTTCCACCACAGACAAACAAAGCTCATTGATATCCACGACTCAAACAAGCAAAGAAGCCCGTAAGTATGTAGATGTTTACGTAAGCTGTGAATTAAGGTTAACATGTAGTTTTTGAAAGAATATACTTCAAAGAAATAAATGCTGTATTTTGTATTTTAGCTTCTTTTTTATAAATTTAATATCATGGTACAATTAAACGAGCAAAATACCGAGATATCCGTGTTCGAGATTTCGAAGTGTAGCTGTAGTAGAATCAAGCAAGCATGGATGTCTGCATAGTTTGTTTTTCGTCCACTAAGCTAGCTCGAGCCTTGTTGTCCTTGTTGGCGAATAAATTTAATAAACTTTTTTTAAATGAATCTAAAGTGAGTTTAAGGGCATAATGTATACAATTCAGTTTTATTCAGGAGCATAATGGAAAGGTAGATCGATATCTGATACAAAATCTACTTGTCAAAATCATGAATAATAAACAGGAGGGGGTTGAACGGAAAAGAGTCTGTTAAAGAGCCCAAATATTTCTTTGCTTTTCTACATCGACAATTGAAAAAAGTGCATATTGTATATTTAATATGTGATTGTATTTGAAATGTTTTTTTTTTTTAATAAATAAGCAAAGGAAATATATTGTCTACTTATTGTAAACTGCAGTGTTATAATTATTAGTCACTTATACTTTGATGCTTTTTGTCTAGTTGCGATAAACAATAAATATGACTTATATTTTATAACTTCAATCCCTATTATTTCAGACGGCGGAGATGCTACCAAACCTTGGGTTATTGCAGCAGCTGCCCTTGTTCCTGTAGTTCTTATTGCTATAATTATCTCAACAGTCATTTGTAGAATAAGGACAAGAAGGTAAATGACAATAAAAGCTGATAGCTGCCTGTTAGTGAGTCTCATCAAGGAAATGAGACACTAGTAATAGTTTCCATTTTAAAATCATACTGTATGTCAAAATTCGTTAAGCTCAACAAAAATTCATCCACTTCATGCACATATAACGGCAAATATATACGTACAGCTGTATATTTACATCTACTGAATATTTTTTCTAATTATTTATTATGAAAACCGATTGACATTATCAATCCATTAATAATGAAGTATTTAGAGTTTCTTTAAATCCATCTTTTTAAAAGATCAATGAAATGTACAGACCAATTGTACAATATTTTATGTACTTTCACCTACTCTCTACGAAAAATTTAAATATATTAATGAGGGGATTAATGTGCAATCATTGCGGAAAAAATCCCTTTCATGTGGGTTTTGTATTTTTCCTTAAATATGCAACTGTCACCCCCGTATTAACGAACATTTTATTGTGTTGCATTTTATTGTTTAAATAAAAAGGAAAAACTAGTGTTCCTCAATACCGATTCACTTTGAACCAGTATGACGGGAATAAGTCTAAAAAATAACATTTATTTCAAGAGAGAACTAAGTGTCTGATCCAATTTGTGAAAAAAAAAACAAATCATCAGCTTAAAATGTGACAGTGATACTACATTTTTTTTAATTTTCAGACCCAAGTCTGAAAAATCAACCATTTTAAGTACGCATTTGCCAACAATTGACAAACTTATTGAAGAATCGACAAAATCACAAGAAGGCAGCAGAAAGTCCAACAATTCAAATCAAGAGCCCATTTACAATACTATAGAGGATGAAGATGGATATCTTAAATACCCGTCAATAATTCGAAGTGGGAGTATGAGATACTCCAGAAACCCACTACCACTTGAAAACAAACAAGAAACATCAGAGGAAGAATGGGACAATGTAAACAATGGTTATTTAGAAGTGTTTCACTGAAACAATTTGTTTGATCGTACATTGAATTCAAAGTGTATACATATATCTAAAATTAAACGAACCTAGGTACATTTACTATAAATCAATTATCTCTGCTTTATTTTATTATTTTTTTTTTTTGGTCATCAATAACAAGCATTGATTACAAACTTACACCGTTTTGTTAAAACCGACTACTGCCTCTCAGTTGATTAGATTCGCGAAGATACGTTTCGTGTAGGATAATCTCTAAACCGAGACATGCTACTGACAAGTAAGTGGATGCTACAAGGGTATCAACCTGATTCTATGATCACTAATACGACTAGTTTGCAAATACAATCTATCATAAGGTCGAAAGTTGACTGACGTTCTTAATCCAAATTGTAGACCATTACTTTCGTACAGGATCGTCTACGGAAAACTCCATTTACCGATGAAGAAAAAGAGCTCACAGTGGGTATTGCCGGTCGACTGGGATGCTTACACCTCCATAGCACCTGATCTCTTCTTTGATTTTTCAGAGGTCTTTGTTTGCTCTGCTCTCAGTATGTGAGGTTTAATTGGACTTAAACATGATTACCGGGAGATGGTTATCTTTATATTTAATTGTGAAGAAATTGGCTGGAAAAAATACACGACCTATTTCAAAGTTACTGTATCAGTTTATTCATTTCTGGAAAAAAAATTACAGCCAGTATTGATATACATCTGAACATTCTAATCTTTGTTCGTGGTCATGTATGCCAGAATTGGTTGACAACATGGCTTTGTCTTCAAAATAAGATAACCCTGACCTTTATACATCATAAAATGCAAGTACAAATTAACATTAAACCAACATGGAGATACAATGTTTGTTTGTTTGTTTGTTTGTTTGTATGTTGTTTAAGTTCCTCTCGAGAATTTTTCACTCATATGGAGACGCCACCACTTGCCAGTGGAGAGCTGCAAACTTTGTCCTATACTCGGCACTTACGGCCATTGAGTAGTGAGGGATCTTTTTCGTGCCAGCACCTACTGCGACACGAGACCTCGGTTTATACGGTCTCATCCGAAGGACCGGTCTCCACGTCCCACAGTGGGATTTGAACCCGCGACGTAAGGATTAACTCCTTACTTTGCGACTCTAGAGCAGACGCTCTAACCACTGCGCCGCGCGGGCGACTGGAGATACAATGAAATATGGATATAACGAACAGTAATCGAGTTCAAAAGTCCATTAAACATTACAAAGTAAGAGCAGAGCAAACACGGACCTCCAAAAACATCAGAGGTGGGATCAGGTGCCATGGAGGAGTAAGCAACCCTTGCCGACCGGTTATTGCTGAACAAGTAAGGGAAGTAGACGAGTAAGGGAAGTAGACGATTGAAAAGTTAGTCATCACGTTTATCATAAAGTTTTGTTGTTAGATTACCATTAACGTCTTTTTCTAGTAAAATATTCAAATATGAAACAGATGTGTTAGACTATGTGGTATCTTTTACTTCAAGCCCACTGGGATATATCGTGTCGACATCTGAATGGAAATAACTATTGTTAATTGACAATACGTCGTCGATATATCTAAATGTCGAGTTGAAGGCCACAGCAAGAGTTTTTTTTTTCTCATGTAAACAATTTTGAATAAATCCTGCTTCATATGAATACAAAAAAGGTCTGCTAATAAATACGTTGATTTGTAGTATAACTCTTTGCATTGAGAACCCACAGACCAAGTTCCTATTTCAAGAATATTGCCATATTTTCACAATAATTATAGCATTTACACTTTGAAACTTTCTAACTATTCACTGCGGGTGTGGTCAGTGGCAGGGGATGCTCACTCCTCCATGGCACCCGATCCCACCTCTGTTTTTGGAGATTCGTGTTTGCTTTGCTTCTGACTTGTATTGTTTTAATGGACTTTGTCCTTAAATAATGTTCGTTATCTCCATATTTCATCTACAGCATGGCCATAAAAAGTCCAAAATACAGTGAATTATTTGAAATTTTCAATTTCAAGGACATTAACATTCTTGAAAATGGGCCATTCAGCAGAAACTAGAAATTGATAGGTAAGTCATCAAAATAGGAAGACATACCAAAGGTCAGCTTATTATATTCAAGAATGGCAAAAAGGAAAGTATGGAAAAACTACGATGGAATGACCGAATGACAAAATGATAGACGGAAAGGGGTAATGCTGTATATCCTAGTAATTCAGTGGCGACTGGCATAAAAAATAGAAATAAAACAAATAATCTCATCATGTGTCATTTGGCTCCAAACCGCCAGAAGAGTTGTGCAAATACATGTAATGCAGATTTTATGTAATAAAGAAGTATTCATTGTTTTCCAACATCAACTTCTATCTTGGTATAGTACGCATACACCTCGACGGATACAATTTTATAAGGCACACTATTCACTCCATCTTTACGCATTCTACGCCTGGAAGTCCGCAACATTGCTACTCTAAAACAAAATTAAACGACTTTAGAATTAGATGTGTATTGTTTAATGTTCAAATGTGCGAAGAATGCTGTATAGTACGGTTAAAATTATAAACAGTCCATCTATCCTGTAATTATGGCTAATATCAAAAGATATAAAAAACAATAATATACAACCTTTTATTCCAGGGCTTTCTCTTTGCATGGGTTAACATTTTATAACGGGCAACAGTCGCTGGTGGACGCGTTATTCTAAGTCCAGAATATGTAATTCTAAAATACATCCATAGAAATATTTTGTATGATGTTGATCTAAAGAAGAAATTCAACAAAATAGAACCAACATTCTACCATGTGTACATGTAGAATACAATTTCACAGAACGCTAACGTTATTGAGGATGTAAAGAAATTTTATTTCTGCCGAATTATCCCTAATTTCCTTTCATGAATTCTTTGAATGGATCATCATAGAGTTTCGTGCATTCGATCTGACTAAAATTCTCAATTTTCTTGAATATACATTACTAATAATAACTAATAAATGATAAAAGATAACTAATATTATTAAAATTTGTGTTTTTTAAGATAGAATTAATGTATAATGAAAATGGCAACATTCTAGCTTTTATATTTAATAATGCGTTCTCACCTCAGTGCCATATCATCATCCTCGCCTCCCCAGCCCCAAAACGCATTCGAATATCCATTGACGCGACGGAATTGATCTGGTCTAAACCCTAACACCCCACCTACCAAAAAGGAGTACATAAGTCTGAAAATGAACAAAATAAGACAGATCGATTTTAAACATTAAATAGAAAATATCAAGAAATGTAGGGTATTTCAATGTACGAAATGATAATACTGTATGAAAAGAAGTAAAGTGTCTTCCTAGTCGTATAAAATGTGATAAACTGTCAACAATCTAGGGGATGTTCTCATTAAAATTGAAACAGCAACATGATGGTGGTATTGTATCATTTTAAGGAAATTTCTAGTTTAATGTCCCTATACAACTTGTTCATAAAGAAACTACAAACTTTTGTCGCCTTTGGTGTGAGCAAAAAAGAGAGTCCATTTTAATATTATCAAGATGATTTCCCAGAGGAACACCTCTCTGACTAGAATGACTACATGGTCAGCCAATATTGGCCAACTATCCATTAATGAATAAGAGTTGGTATAAAAAGAAGCGACAATGAAGATAATTCTCCAGAATGTTAATGGCTGACGCGGCATTTTCGTCCCTTGATGGGATTCAGATTTCCGTGTCAATTTATTTCGATTTCAGAAATATTGTGATGAAAAAAACCTTACGCAGCCTCTCATTCTAGGGATTTTGATTTATTTTTGGTTAATTAAACTTACATCGTCTCTAATTTTTAAAGATATTTTTGAAAAAAGTAAGTCTTGGAAAAGGATTGCTTTGCTTAATGTGTAAAACATAAAACTCAGATCAATCAATCACTCGATTAATATAACAGCATATATTAACCATTTGATTCCAGCACATAAAAATGTCTAACATGACTTAGAAATCTCCCGACTCCTTAAACATACATGATAGGAGGAATATGAACGTCAATTATTACATTTTATCCCATGTTTACCTCTTTATCCCGTGGATATGACTCATTGGATAATTTTTTCATAATCCACAGTTGTGACGTCACAATGGTTTTTGCGTTAGCGCGATGAGGTAAAGTAAAGTGGAGTCCTATATAAAACAGTGTAAAACATTGGTTGTGAAGTATTAAACATGGGATAAAAAGAATCTCCCATGATTTGTAGTTGGATATGACTTTTATCCAACTCGTTGTGTGTTTTTATCCCCTCGCCAAGGCTCGGGGATAAAAAACACACAACTCGTTGGATAAAAATCATATCCAACTACAAATCATGGGAGATCCTATATGTCTTTCATGAAAAAAAAAAATCTTTAAATTTATTTCAGATATCAATCATCTATAGGGAAACATCAAAGCTTTTGAAGAACATTCCCTACTTGTAACTCATTTTATCAATAGCCACCGATAGATGGCGTGGATGGTCTCCACAATCGTAAAGATTCCCATCATGTTCCGGAATAAGATCGACGTCATGAAATATAACGCAATCAAAATTGTACGTCTTCATTGCCTCCAGGAAACCAGCATTCATTATCCTTCCTTTATTAAATGTACCGTTTCCTGTCTGATAAAAACAAAATAGTGCAGTAAAGATACAATTTTATAAAGTGTCAGCTACACATATTTAGTGTAGAGATTCTATATATGTTACAAACATTCGTTTGCTTTCTGTTTTTTCCCCGAGACCAAATCTTTTTACCTGTTCTATGACAAAAAATCTGAACTCTGTTAATTGCGACATTAGCATCGGTATAAGGTTCTTCAGGAGAATACACAGATGCTCATCACGATCTCTGAATGGTATAATGATGGCTATATGTCGTACAGGAATACAGTGTGGGGGCTTCCATTGTCCCCCAAAACGAAGGACAGTTCTTTGAAACTGTTGAAGTGTTGGATTGTTATTATAATGACACTCTTTTAAAGTGGTATTTGATGTTACGATATGATTTGTGTAATTGACAGAGGAAGCTCTTATAGACTTTGCACATTTGACTTGTGCACAGACTGACTTATTACACAGCATTAAGTTACACATTTCCATTGATTTATCCTCAAACTGTGAAGCTTTTTTGTTGCATTCTGCTAATATACAAGGTTTGATGTCCAATTTCCGCTTCCCCTCTGTAATGAAGCAAAGAAAGGATACTCAATTATAATAAGCAATAGTGTTTACTTGCAAAAAGAATGATAAACTATTTTCCAAATATTTCAATTTGCTACAAAAACTATATTTAGTCTCTTTTTTGTGTTTCAAAGAAGATGAAAAAAGAAATTAAGGAGTCCTGCAATTTTACTTTAGCAGAGAAATTTCGTAGGGGAAGATAATAGATTATCATAATCAAAATGTAAGAAATGATTCAAGTATCTTATAGTTATGATTTCCAGGGAAACCATTACTGCAACCTTTTTGACACAAAAAATCATCTCTGAACAATGAGGAAATATCAATAAATTTTAAAAGCTCAGACAAGAGGAAATCCCCTCAAGTGCGATAATACTCCTAATGATTTTTCGCCTCAAACAATTAAAACTGTTAAAATGTTTATAGTTTTCATTTAAATTATGCATGCGATTCATTCCAATTTAACTAAGAATTTAGTGCAGCAGTTGAAATTTTGTTATTATGAATAAAATCCAATTAGGTTCCAGTACCAAGGCATGTCCATTTAAATGCATAATAAAACTTACAATTTATAAGGGGTAATTAAACTAAAAATTATCATATTTAGCATTCTCTCTTTAATATGTTTATTGTTTCAATAAATATGAAGAACACGCTGATAATTTGGATAAATTTTTTTTGATTGTAATGAAAGAAGTGTTAGACGAAGTATCGGTTAGTACTTTTGGTACATCTGACCAAAAACATAAACAATTCTACATTTTCTTCCAAAAATTGAACAAGTATTCCTAGCAATCAATACTAAAGTCAGACTAGAGGAAAATCAAGCAAGCGATATAAGTTGAAACCAGGATATCATTACATTTCATAATGGAAATGAGATGTCAAAAACAAATTACAACCGACTTTTGGGGGAAACTGAATCCTTATGAAAAGATATGCATCAAGAAAATTTGATTAGAATCCCGTTACTAGAACAGGCATCTATTGATTGCTATATCATCTGCTTAGAACCACAGTTATTTGTCATCAGTCGTGACCATATGCTGAAGGAAGTAGGCTGAAACGGGGAAAAAAGCTGAATCTATGTTCAGATATTGACAAAAATTCAATTATAAGAAAATTTAAGGAAAAGAAGAATATTTATTCGGAAATAAAAGATTATAATTATCGAGCACGCTTCTCCATTTATGAGCTATCTCCGTGAAGTAATACATAAGAGTGATACAGAGAATAACGATTCTAAATGGATTGTCTAGTTTGACAAAGGAGAGAGGCAGAAGGTCGGTAGAGATCAGAAAGTTCCCAAATGTACTGAGATCTAATGATTGTCTTTTCTGAAACTCTAACGTTCGTGTATGAAAAAATATGAAAACAATGTCTTTAATTGAGTTACATTTACGAAGGATACATTATTTTGGAGAGCAATATACTTTGAATAGTCTGTAAATATGAGTATTTCCTTGACATTAACTTTTTGTAAATTAAGTCTACATGTAACACTCAAACTAATCTTAATCAATAAATTAGGTTCTTATTATATTTGTTTCTTTACAAATACCCATTTGAGAGAAAGCAAGAAGTTCTTGTATCAGATGTATATAAATTCATTTCTAAGTTTCATCATGGTCACAGGCCTGTAAAGAAGTTAGCTCGAATTTATCAAATTTCGTAAATTCATAGAAATTAACATGCTGAAATTCGGATATCTTGAGTCATGTATGATATGGACAATCAGACTAATACCTCATACTTTTCTTAATCCTAAAATGACTTGCTCTTTACAACTTTGTATTTGCAAATATTTTCATTTGCTGTGTTTTTCTAGTAAGCCAAAGGTGAAATTGATTTGAACACCATTTACATGTATACTCACGCGTAGAAATATGCATGGAGAAACTCGCGCTAAAGTGACGTCCCAATGAGCTACAGAGACGTTAATAAAAAGTTAACGATATAGGACAGCGAATAAATCAAACATTGAGTATATGTTTGGTGTTTAAAAGGACTTATCGCATGTTTCTAAATTATTTGAAATTAAAAGCGTAAAACGTTCCTTATGACCACAGTTTATAAATTTTGTGTTTTTTTCTGCGGATAAACCGCGGTAATTAACCAATTATTGACTCAAATGAAAACCGCTGAATTAAAAATCTAAGTTAATTAGATAGCGATCACGTGACCCTGTGACGTCAAAGGCGACAATGGCTGATCAGCTCTTCGCGTAAATCTTACTAAAATGTACGCGATACAACCTGAATTTTCTGCGTTATGGACGACCAAATCACTGATTTTATCGATATGAAATTTAATGTCCAACCTTATAGTTTAGAAATGTCAGCAAGAAATAATCTAAAAAATACGTTAACATTGTAAAAATAACAGCGACGATAGCGAGGGGGACGCGGCGAATACGAAGAAACTCGCCATCACAATACAATTTGATTTGTCATTTTATCACATGTATTAACTTATTTGATTCACAAATTTAATATTACATAATTCTGTTATTCTTCCTTTTTTAACATAATTTTAATTTATGCAAGTATACTTTCATATGTTTTGTAAAGAATGGCGGTGTTGAAAAATAATTTTCCGATCACGAAACATTGCCGTAATCAGACCTACATATTCTAAATGTGTGGAATAAAAAAACGAAAATATCTCAAAATTCTTATACCTTAGAACTAGTTAATGTTTCTATAGTAATTGAAAATCACGTTAGGAATTAATTTTTTCAGCATTTTTTCATAATTAACCTGCATTTGTCGTTGATAACTTCGTAAATAGTATGCAACTTCTCATCTCTCTATCACTGAATTGTCGCCTATGACGTCAGAGCAGTATTTCGCCGATATCCGACTGAAATATGCATATTGCCGTATTTGAATTTCAACTCTCAATACCTCTTAAAATATGCTTTCAACAACGTTTATTGTATTCAGAATTTTAATAAACAAGGTTTTAGATAATATTTTTCATAAAATTAAGATTTTTGAAAAATCATGCGATAAGTTCTTTAAGCATGTAAAATGTAAATATAAGGAATGTTTTTAAGTTTAGTGTGAATTATTGGTGTATAAATCACACAGACTTGCACGTAGGCATATCTCTCATGAAGCGCTAGCGCGCTTCATGAAATATGCCTACGTGACAAGTCTGTGTGATTTACACACCAATACCTCACACAAAACTTAAAAACATTCCTTAAATACCGGTAAATACAGAGTTATAAAATGTAGATGACATATCAGAGGTTTCTGGAACTATGTAGAGAATTAAACAAATGTAATGCATCGATATCCTTGCAATAATTAAAAAAATCCTTTCTTTTGAAATCCGAGAAAATTTAAGGAGAACCCATGGGTTAAAGATCAAAGAATTAAAAGGATATCACATAAAAGTTCAGGTTAAAAAGACAATGATTGGTTAACAACACTGCAATATGCTTTACAATAAAGGATATGCGAAATAAACTGATAACGTTAGTTGAATTTTGTGACAATCTATTCAAGTTTCTGACTGGACATTAAAGAGTTTGAAATGACCAGAAATGAAACCAAATACATGTAACACTTGATTCATTTATTTCTTTCAAGGCACTGGGCAAAAACAAAAAGAGTCCAGATTAACAATAGAATACAAAATGTATGTAGCAATGCAATTAACTAGATGCTATCATATTAGTAGATAAAAGTGGAAAAAGAAGAAAAGTGATCCCTAATGATTTGTAAGAGATGGGTAGCAATACCGCCTTGACAAATTTTAAAATTTTTAGTTTGACGATACTGAGATACCTAGGGGATTTCTGTAAATGCACGATGAAATAAAGTACATGAGGTCATGAACATATCTGAATAAAAAGCAATAAAGTTTATTGCTTAAATTATTCATACCTGATGATTGGTAAAAGTGATAACACTATTAATGAAGCACATAGGAGTGTTTCATTGAAACGATTTCTTTGACCGTACATTGAACTAAAAGTGTATACATACATTTACACTAAAATGCACCTAAGAGTTTACAATTTGGATTACCTATCCTTTCTTCATATTCTTGTCATCGATAAGAAGCACTGATTACAAACTTACCTCTAATTTTTTAATAAAAGTGATGACTTTAACTTTTTTTCAATTGTCAACTTCTCATTTTTAAGTATAATATGCCATTATCACCTACATTTATACCGGTATATGTACATATGGTATTGATATATCGAAGGTGATTTAATTCGCAAACACAAATTCCGTATACAATAATTTCTAAACCGAGACATGCTACTGACAAGAAAGTGGATGCTACAAGGGTATCAACAATCTTGTTTCAAGTCAACACTTTACAGATTCTATGGTCAATAAGGGATGCCTACACCTCTAAGACACCTGATCTCACCTTTGACTTCTCAGGGGTTTCATTGTAAAGAAAATGACTGAAAATTCAAAGAACCTATTTCTTCAAAGTAACTTTATCAGTTTAAGTTTGTTCAATTTTGAACTTGTTTTGTTATTTACAAATAACTGTGAATACATGTATTTGGCATCTGATACAGAATTATTGATTGATTTCTTGATAAAGATGTGTTAAAGTAAAGTTCAGGAGTAGAAAGAAAAAAATAATAAATTAAAAAGAAATATATCTGATTACAAAGCAATAAAGTTTATTGATTAAATCATTCATACTTGTTGATGGGGGAAATCGATAACACCATGATTGAAGCACTTAGGAACTAAGGCTCTCTTTCACTAAAAGGATCTAGAGTTGTTACTGTCTTTTACTTGATTATTTTTTTTAAATAAATGAACAATTGAATATCAATCTCAGAAACAGAAAACTTTCTATTTTAAGACATACCATGCATGTTTCAAAAGAGTATTATGTAATATTGCTTCCCTCTATAAACAAGTTATTTTTCGATAGATTACATCAACATGTCAAATAGATATTAACGCATGCAGCACAAATATACATGTATCAGAATGCGATATAGCTATGTTGAAATGCAACATAAATATGTTAACATTTATGCTGCCTTCACACCAAACACATCAATGTTTTAAATATATGAATTGTAGTTATTAACATTATTTTACATGTCAAAGTTAAAGTATCAATCGTTAAGAGTTGTTAATAGAATTCTACAGAATGACAAACTTTCCCACAAAAATTATTCTTCATTTCCAAGAATGTCACTAAATTTATGAAGAATTTATACCTTTATCCCGTGTAACTAAAGTATACATCTAGAAAACCAAAAACGGGCTTCTGATCTGGGAAACATTGTGTCATTGATAATGTAATCATACATTCACAGACGCTAGAAATTGGACAGGAAGGAAATGTTAATAAAAGAAATCATAACTTACCTAGATGTGGTGGACTCTGTGGACAAAAATGCAGACTCTTCTCTACTTTAACAACAATTTCAGACACATGTGCAAGAGCCAATTTATCTTCATCATCACTTGGAAATCCATTAAATACGATTGAACTATTCAAAACTGATGGAAAGTTCTTTAGAGTATTTTCTGCTATCCCACACATATTGAACATTGCATATAAAACAACAATTCCGGCCATCGCCAGGAACAGGTAAATTCTAATTGCTCTTATTATATTGAATTTTATAAAGAGCATCATCCTATTTAAGAATACGAACACACACCGGTCAACGCGTATCCTATATTGCTAATCAGTCGCTTCTAGAGCCTTTATTATTGCAGTCTGTCTGCCTTGTATTGTGTGAAGAGCTTGCGTATGAAATCAATTCTGAATATTTTTACAGCAGTGACCCTTTCATAAATGCTTGGTTGGCAATAAGTTTTTAAAATTAAGACAGCCGTAAATAGACAGATAAGTTTATTATTAAAATTTATTTGAACAGTTTATATTTTTTCAAGTGTTCTGTTGCTACTTATAGCTATTTACCTACATAATTTTTAAAATAAAAATTATATACTTTTTGAGAACAATTTGCGTAATAAATCCATGAACGGTTTAACGTACAGTATAATGCTCCGTGTCTGATCGAGAAATGAATATAAATTACTTTTTTTCCTTAGCTTATGTTGTGGCGAATTCATGAAATAACCTATCACAGTTAAGCTAAAGAAAATGTGTTTATTTTTCAAGGAGTTACGTATAAACCTTGATCCATAAAAGAAGGAAAAATAGCAAATATGACAAACCGCATTCGAAAAAAAAATTCCTGCGCTGAGTATAAGAAATTAAAATAAATATTGAAATAACAGCAAAATTATTTGTATGTATTAGAATCGCTGAATTAATGCAACCTTTCTTTCCTGTCATTTTGCGAGACTTGATTTAGCTTCGAGCCACATTGCTCACATAAGATACCTTGGTACTTCTGTTCTGAAGAAGATTTTTCCCACTATATTTTCATGAAATTTTTTTACCACATATTGTGAATCTACCCTATAAACAAGAGATTTAAATTCAACTTATCCTGTGTGCACATTATGGGGATGCTATATATCAATATAAATAACTTTATATTTGCAGCTATGGAGATAAGTTTTTTTTTAATTCTTTAAAGCTTTCTGCATAAATTTATGTACAACTTGGTCCCCGATTTAAGCACACCTTAAAATCTCATGACAGTGTCCATACTCTGAACAAATTTAAAATCCACGTGACCTGGAAATGTAATAGTGAAACTCTGTTTAATAAAAAAAATGCATTGTATTTTAATTACCCATATTAGCTCCTACTAGCCCTAGAAGTCGTATTTTTAAACAACTATGAATCTGCACAATTTTGGTTATCTGCATATTAAAATGAGTAAATGTTTGATGCTGTCTTTGAAGAGATAATTTTTGAAGATATATGCCTATATATGTCATTTGGATATATGATTCTTTATATTCCTTTATCCCTCAAACGTCGAAATTTTTACCCAAAGAGAATAACTGATTTTACAGTATTTAAACAAATGTTGAATTTTACTATCTAGTTTGATTGCATATGGAAATGACCAGTTATTTTTGAGAATATTTTTAAAACTGCTTATTGCATGAAAATATTACAAGGATATTTTTAGAATCCTTCTGTGGCCAAACAATAACTCAGGGGATGAATTGAACAAACCTGAATCCTGATCTCTTGCATCTTTAATTTACATATCTAATCATCAAGGGCACTATTCTTCCTGAGAAGAAGGTATTTTCTATATATTCCCATGTAAAACTTTGACCCCCTATTTGTGTTATTGTGGCTCCATCCTACCCCTGCAGTGTACTCTACCTAACACTGGATGATACCGTGTCATTCAGCCAACTGAAAGGTGACTAGTTGACAGAACTCTGTCTTCAGTCACTTTTCAGTGAACTTTCAGTTACCTAGATGGCACAGTGTTCATCCAGTGCAAAGCAAGGTTATGTCATTGAGAACACTCCATGACATGATCTTATCTTGAAATACCCAAGAATGATTTTCTATAAACTGATTTTGTTACATGCAGTGATTAATTACAGTTATAGCCTAATTAATGTCTTTATAAACTTTTTCTTGTCCATTAACGATATTTCTGATTAGACTGTAGCCTCTGTCAGAAATAGTGCTAGATCATTATCAGCAGTACATTACATATTTTCTCTATCATACCCCGATCGAGGCTTTCGTGGTTCTATTCCAGACACGATTTCAGCATTGCAGTGTTCCTGCTTGAAAGAGTAGAGTTAAGATTATGGCAGTTTTAGACTATGGAAAACAAATTATTACAGTTTCAAATCTTCTAGTCCTGGCACGAATTCAAAATCTTATTACCTGAAAGCTTTGTCTTTTGAGACATAACCTTGAGTTAAGATGATAATTTACCAACTGACCGTAGAATATAACATACTAGAGTTTGAATACATTTTATCAAGGACCGTTCACGGTAGCTCAGTCGGTAGAGCGCTCGCTCCGTGATCGGGAGGTCATGAGTTCGAATCTCGGCCGCGACTGACCTAAGTCGATAAAAAATGGGCAGCAACTGTTCCTTCGCCATGCGCTCGGGACTTTGAAGTGAAAGTTGCGGGTCCTTCGGATGAGACCTTAAAAACCGAGGCCCCTTGACACGGTAAGCGTTGGCACGATAAAGATCCTTCTCTGCTCAATGGCCCTGAGTGCCGAGTTAAGGTCAAAATTTGAAGCCCTTCACTGGTATATGGTGACGTCTCTATATGAGTGAAACATTTTCGAATGGGACGTAAAACAACATAAAATCAATCAATCAATCAATCATTTTATCAAGTGTTTAAACAATAATAAATTCTGAGGAAGACGGACAAATATCGTTTGACATACCATTTTAGGAAGATCTATTGAATTCATTTTGTGTATATACTCATTGATAAATAGAGATCAAACATATTCGCCTTCAGTGGCGCCTGTATCAAATAATGTTTCTTCTGAAACAAACTAAATGTATTTTTTCCAATAAAAAGTGTTAACAGCTTCTTCTTTTACTAATAATACGTTCAGCTTTTGAATATAAAAATGTAAGAAAAAATGCAGTCTTTTCCAACAATAATACTGTCTAATATATTCTTAATACAAGGTATTCGTACTTAAAATACAAAAATAATTTACTATATATATTGCCATGTAAACATTATGTCTTCTTGCGTTCTGCCGTTTTATCCCCCAAATATTTATCATAAGATGAGAATTAGTAAAAACAAATGGGGAATCAAATAATGAGTTTTTTTTTTTTTTTTTTTTTTTTTTTTTTTTGCATATTATTCTATGCATTATATTCCATGTATTTGTTTTTCTAAAATCATATTGCTTCTTTTATTTTATTTTTTTTTTTTTTTTTAAGGTTTTTCTTCCCTCAATCCCGACTACATAAACGTATTGGCAGACCCAAAAATTTCTAAAACATAGACTTTTCAACCCCAGGACCCATGTTTTAGATTCAGAAATCAGAATTGGACGGCAATACCAGAGCTCTTATCAATGATATATGGAGACAACGAATTGTACGAGATTGTATCTGCTGACAAGGTTATTGTATCAAGTTACGAAATGATGACTTTAAATTTAAACGAGACTGTTGATATTCTTGTTTAATCTACTTGTTTGTCTATAATTTACCTCTCTCTCCTAATACCAAGGATATACCTTGTCCCTTTTTCTTGTTTATATTTTTAAAGAAAGATAAGTTTGAAAACACATATCTCCATTATATTATAAACCCTAATAGACAATAAAACTAAAACAGCAAAAGATATATTTCTCATTCGTCATTTGTTCTGTCAACAATGAGGTAATTATTGAGCAAAATATCATAAGCTATCATTGATGACGGTGAAAATAATCGACAAACAAATGCGTTTGAATGACCATTGAGAAAAACGTTTGACTTTGAGCAAACCACAAATTTTTTGAATGCCATCTACTACGTACTTGAATTCATCAATGCTAATACTTTGGAACAGTCCTTTGCGCTAAAATATGAATGTAATCTTTGGAGACCTAGTCCTCAAACAATCTGTTGGCATTCCCGTTATTGTGTCCCGTTATTAAAAGAATTTATATTTATATATATTATAATGATTTTTTTTTTATTTTCATTCCTACATTGATTCGATATATATCCCAACTGGGAAAAAAAGACATCACAGAGACTGACACAATGTTTCATATTTGTATGTTTTACTTAAGAAAGACTATGATAAACGCGATGGCTCAACTTTTCTATCGTCAACTTCCCTTATTTATGTAGCAATATACCATTATCACTTGCATATGGGGTTTATGTTTCCCGCGCAAGAGCATGTTCTATATGGGAACAATTTCTAAAACGCGTCAGGGTATTAAGAATTACTGTAGATCACTATATTTTGCGCCACCTTCCTTTTGCGAAATAGCTAACTGGTATATATTAGCGAGACAAAATTTTCGCAAGCTATGTTTTTTGTTGTATATAATCTTTAACAACACAAATATACGCAAAATAAAATTTTCGCGAACAGACAGACTCGCGTTATTACGCGCATATAAAGTTCTTGCGAATAAAAGGTGATTTACAGTAAGGTGATGATACAGCGATAGCAACAATCTCGAATCTAGGTCATAGGTCAATGTTGATTGACTTCTGTCATACACATTGTTATACCATTATTTTCACACTGAATTGTCTTCAGATTTTTCTGCTTACACGATCATGACAAGGGGCAGATGGAAGCAGTGACCGGTGGATAGGGGATACTCACCCCTCCATAGCACCTGATCCTAACTAGTTTTCTGAAGTCTGTGTTTGCTCTGTTTTTATTTTCTATTGTGTAATTTGACTTTTTTGCATGAATACTTCGTTATCTTCGTGTAATGTTCATTATGCAGCATTCAATGGAGGTACATTTATCTATCTATTTCTATCGAAGATTAACCATTTTCGTGATTTTTTTTTTTTTTTTTGAATAAAGATGCTATCTAACTAAGGTCCTATTAATACCTTCTATAATGTTTATCCAAATATACATTGCAAGGTGTAGGTTGTCAATAAAGTTGTAGCATGTCAATAATGCGATTTACTTTATATAATAAAAAAAATTTAATCAGGAAATATGCAGATTTTAGCGTATTTTAAGCTCACTTAGACTTCATATGAAACGCAAAAGGA